AAAAAATGACTTAAATATATAATTCAATGAACATAAATGCAAGTTAATAACTTAAATTTGGATTTAATGAGAGAGAATTGAATGCATCGAATATCTTTAAATTACCTCTTTAACTCATTTAATATCAAGAACCGATTACCCTATTTGCCCTCATTTTTTATCAATAAATTTAAATATAGAGGGGTAAACTTTGTCCTTAGAAAATTCCAGAAATAATCTTGAGGTCATTCGTGCTTTTTAAAGTAGTATAATTACTCTTTTAACTAATCACTCACAAGATTTTTTTTCCTGCAACTTTTCTTTCTCCTCAACGGACATGGTTCTTATTGGAATCTTAATGTAGAATTTGGAGTTCTCAACATTGGTATATGCTTCATTCTTGATGTCTCCTCATAGGCAGAATACAAGTATATTAATTATTCAGTTTCTTTTCTTATTTTGTTTAAACCATCTATATTATTTAGTTAGTAATGGCAACCATTAAATTTTGGACTGATAGTTGGGTTGGAGAGAATTCTCTTGCAGATTGCTTGGCTCCTTCACAATGTTACAATGAAAATGAGTTGGTGTGTGAATTCATTGATAAAGATAGAGGGGTATGGAAGGTGTATCAAATTAAAAATTTTATCCCTCCTAATATTTGGAATAAAATCAAAGCGATTTTTATTCCTATGAGTTCTAGAGAAGATAAATTGATTTGGGGTCTAAACCCAAAGGGCTTGTTCACCATAAAATCGGATTGCAAGCTTAAATGTGAGGACGGTTCTTCAAGAACAAACACAGTCAGTTGGGTTGCAATTGTTTGGAGCCTTAAAATCACTCCAAAAATTAAAGTGTTCATATTCTTGTTAAATACTAGACTGCTTGTGACAAAGGATATTCTAAGAAAGAGAGGTTACGATATTGATGGTGATTGTTGTAGATGTGGCATGGAAGAAAATACCAATCATGTTTTCCTTGAATGCAATGCTTTGAATCAAATCTGGAATAAACTATATTTGAATATTGGGAGTCCTAATCGGAATAACTTTGACATTGCCGAATGGTGGACAGAAATTCATAAGAAGGATTTAAGTGAAAGGGGTCGTTTGAAAGAAAGATGTGCCTTTGTCTTTTGGCATATATGGAAAAATAGAAATCAAAAGGCATTCAGTAATAAACACAACCCCCTCAAACTGTTTTGGGCAAAACATTGAGAGATTTTGCTGAATATGAGGACTTAACTGAAAAACCAAGTACCACCAAAGAATTAAGAAGTTGGAAAGCCATCTATTGGGTCCCTCCGAATCCTGGAGAAATTAAAATTAATTTTGATGCTTCTTGTCACGATAATGGTAGGTGTTCTATGGCGGCCATCATGAGGAACCACCTGGGTGAGATTTTGGACTTCAAAGGCTACTTCTTAGGCACTTCCACTATCAACTCTGTTGAAGCATGGTCTGCATGGGAAGCACATAACTTGGCAGCCAATTTTTGCAACAACTTGATCATCCTTGAAGGTGATTCGAACCTCACCATTCGGTGTCTCAAATGGTTGTCTTACCCTCCTTGGAATCTTAAAAATATCATTACAGAATGCTTGTGGATGAAGGCCAAGATGGAAAGTGGAATCAGCAATAGGCACGTGTATAGGGAGGCAAACCAAACAGCTGGACCGCAAATAAAGCTTTTTCTTCTTCTGATGGGTCGATTTCTTTTAATCCTTGTAATCTCCCTAAGGATCTTGTTTTGATTTGCTTAAGTGGTGTTTGGGGCGTGCTACCCCCAGCTTGTGTAGCACCTCTTGTTTTTATCAAAACAAAACAAAAAAAAAAGTTAGCTTTTCAGTTGCCAACTATGTCAAATCTTCAAGCATTATAATTAAATATTGAAATTCTATTTCAATTATTAATTCTATTATTTTCTATAGTCCTATCTAGGCATAAAGTATTTGGCTTATATTAAGCTAGGGTATGGGGTTTGAGCCATCCCCCAACGCAGGTGCAGGCAAGATTCGATCCCAAGTCTCCGCTATGATCAACCAGTTGGTTGGCACCTTGCTATATGCCGTTATTATACGTGCTAAAAATCAACCCAAGTTCATTTTTACTTGTCCCATGGTCACCCCTAATCCAGTAAAGCTAAGGACTCTTAACTTTGAGCCAGGTTTTGCCCTAGCCCAACCTAATCCACACCCAATGTGTGCTCCATTGAGTCGTGGTTCAGTGGTTAGTGTGATCGATTCAACTCAATTTTGTGAAATAAAATTTTTGGATTTTTTAATTTATTGTTTATTTTATATTTTGTTAAGTATTTGGTTGATTTTTTATTTTTCCAAAAAAAAGTTATTTAATTTTTAAAAAAGTGAAAAAAAAACAAAAAAAAAAAGAAATAGGCTCGTGGCCTGGTATGGCCCGACACAGCATAGACTCACTTGGGTTTGGGCCGTAAGCCATGCCAGGCTTCCCTTTCGAGGGATTCTAAGCCAAGCAGCCACAGCCCACCCAAGCCCACGTGTTGGCACGGTATGGCCCACTTCAATGCGAGCAGCCCACAAAAGTGGGCCATGCCAGCTAACATTCTGTTCATAGGCAGGGCCAAGCTTGGTCCGGGTCAAACTTTACCTCTTTATAAACAAAAAATGACTAAGCCCAAGCACGAGCTTAGCCCAACCATCGAGCCTTAATCTTGAGCCCAAGCCCAAAGCCCAATTTGGAAAGATATTTTATATTATATTAATTATATATTACTAATAATATATTATATATTATACAATATTCCATACATTATAATATATATAATACTTTTTTCACTACTAAATTATTATTATATAATATATATCATATATTATTTTTTATTATATATAATATTATCGGGCTGGACTTATTTGAAAAAGCCCAAAACTGGCCAAAAAATAATCGGGCCAATGTTTAGAACCCGAGCCCGAGCCTGAGCCTGCAGGCTGCAGGCTTAAAACTTTGTCGTTTCTTCAAGCCCGATATAGAACAGACCACCCCATCGGGCTACCCGGGTTTAAAGTCTCGGTTGCTTCCGTGAGACGAATTCCCTTTTCTTGCCGACGATGTGATTCGAACCAAAGGCCTCCTGCTGCTCTGTTGAATCTTCTTTGGTCCTAAACTTCTCATAATTCCAATATTCCATAAACCTACGCGTTTACAAATTACAGAGACAACAAGCGAAACGTGTGGTGTCAACATTTCACTGTCTCATTTCATTTCCTCCCTCTCTCTCTCTCTCTCTCTAGCTCGTGACTGTAATCCCATCCGACATCACCAGAAATTCCGTTACAGCAGAGACCTCACTTCGTCCTCTGGTTGGTTCCCTCTCGCTCGCTACCTCATTTTCTATCGAAACAAGAAAGAGAGAGGCGAAAAAGGATAAGAAGAAGAAGGAAAGAGGACGGGGAGTTGAGTCTCTGAATCGGATCGATCGGAGATTTACACACATTTCTGATCGATCTGTGTTCTGTTGGGTCGAGCCAAGATGAATATATTCAGATTAGCAGGGGATATGACCCATCTCGCCAGCGTCCTCGTCTTGCTCCTCAAGATCCACACCATTAAGTCCTGCGCAGGTACTTCTCTATCTCCCTATCTTTGTGTATTCATGAATTTCCTTCATTTTTCCTCAATTGTAACATTTTTATGATTAATGGCTTTCAACCCCTGAAGCAACATGGAATTTCTGGTCTTCGGTTGATTTTTTTGCAAGGCAGTGGAATGTTCAAGGCATTTTCATTCTATTGTTTGCTTTGGCTCTGTTAACGCGAAATGTAGGGGTTCATATATTCTGTATAATTGATATGGATCTCATCAGAACTTGAAAGCTTCAATATTTCTGCCTGATGGGCCTGTGATCCTGGTGTTGTAAGATAGTCTGGTTAGAGCGAGTTAACAGGTTACTACTTGTTAGAGAGATCGGGTTCCATTTTAGGAATAGGAATGAGCCTATATTATCATTTCGATATCATTCATAGATTTAGATCTAGTAGAAGCTCCATCTGAAAAAATGGATGTGGGAAAGTAAACTCAGTCCAGGAGGCAAGAAGTTCGGGAAAATTGCACTTACGTTTTTATTCACCAATTTATTCTTTTTTCTTGGGAGGTCATTTGTGGTTGAGGTCAAGTGTCGAAATGATTGGAGATTTTTCGGGATAAATGCTGCAAACAGGAACCGTTTCATGAGTTTGAAAACTGCCAACTTCCAACACGACACCCAATAAAGAATGCAAAAATGGAGACAACGTTTTGTTATTCCAGGCCAAGTATTTACAGGGAAAAAATGTGAAAACTTGATCTCGTCTCCAATTCTCCCCACCACTGTTGCATGGACTCTCTTAAATGTGTCCATTTCGTATATGTGTGGTGCTCTGACACTCCATGGATTCTCATATAACACATCTATGAGACGTTTCTCTTTTTCTCTTTATTCAACATGAATGAACAGTTAACGTATATACTAAATGCCAGTTGCCCTAAAAAATGTTATTAAGTAACAATTGATAGTCATTTAGACCTTCATGTTAAAATTCAACAAACATAGACATTTCTATGAGTCTTTGTTTCTTTGTCTTGCCAGGTTAGGATCCCAAACTGACATCAGAGTCTGATTCTGGATTCCCATGTCTGTGTTCATGTAATACTGTTTCCCACACCAGGAGACCATACTTATGAAGCATATATTAGAAATAAAACTATGACTCTGAACAAGCCAAAGCTGATATTTCCTACATTAAGAATGCTGCTAAAAAGTTTTAAGAGCTAAATTTCATGCAAAACTCCCTAGCAAAACACACACAAAAAAAAAAGAAATAAAGAAAAAGGTCCCATGTAAAATAAATCCAATTTGTCCATTCTAAAATGATTCAAGCAAACTAGAAATACATGTGTTCCATAGAAAATTCCATCCAATATGCCGAACAAACAATTTTCTCTGGTTCTTCTTGGTTGTTTGGGCAAAGTTTCAAAATTTCTCTCTTGAGACCAACCAACCTTCAATTAGTTCTCCAAATAATAATCTAAGACCATGAAAGTTAAGAATGAATAATATTTCGACCAATTACTGACCAAAAATCCAATAACTCACTCCCTAAAACACAGTAGCGGTATCCCCAATATGAGGTGATATATAAGGAGAGAGAGAGAGAGAGAGAGAGAGAGAGAGAGAGGAGGAGGAGGAGGTGGTGGTGGTGGGTAAGAAGATCCGCTAATGGTTTGGTGGATGGATTAGCTAAGCAAGGAGTACATGGACATCATTTGTATTGGGCTCAATTATAATATAAAGGGATTCTCTTGTTGTAATAAAATCCTCAAGTGGGAATGTTCCTGGGATATATAGACATCTGCTAAGGAGATAGTAAATAGCAAGGGAACTTAATGCCTCATTCACATGGATCAGGAGAAATGCAAACGGAATGGCTGATTCTCCCTGTCAGTCATTTTTTCCAAATCAATACTTTTCTCCACCAAATTGTCTTTAACAGACATTGCTAAGGCATCCTCTCCTATCTTCATTGTGCCTCCTTAAACTTTCTTACCACCCCCACTGTTCGTACCTGAACCTGTCTCCACCACTTCATTCTCTTGAGCTCAGATTGCCGACTTAATAGAAAGCTTGCAACTCAACAGCTGCCGATTGTCCAAATTCTCCTTCTCCCCATATCCCGACTTATCCACAGCTTTTAAACCTTTTCCTCTGCAAATTCTTTTAAATCTATTCGTAGGACCTGGCCCAACCAGACCTTCTTTAAGATGTGAGAAAACCTATGTCACGTGAACCAGATACGATCTACTCGAACCTCTTGACTTCTACACTTTTCCATATCTTTAGCACAAACATTTCCTCAACCTCCACCCTCCTAATACCAATATTGATGCCAATCCATCCCTCAACCATTTCAGAAAACTACTCACAGTTAACTTCACCCCCAAGTTCCCCCAAAAAAGAATCCCCTATCCCAGAATCTGAAGAGACCAAACCAGACCTTACCTCAGGAATGGGCTCCACTCTATTACCAGGGCCAGCATGATCATTCTGATCCAATTCTTCAGCAGCCACCACACCTGAAAGCAAACCTAATCAGCACCTGAAAAATAGGGGCTTTAACTTGGCCAATATTTGCTACATGTGGGAAAAGCAGGAGGAATCAGTTTAACGCCAAAGTCCAGAGAAGCAAAAAGGCCAGGCCAGGGTAGTTTGGAGTTACATTCCCTTTGCTGTGTGCTGGATCATTTTGAAAGAAGAAACAGAAGGTTTTTGAGATCAAATACTGGAACATTAGCTGATCAAAAAAAAAATATTGGAACATTAAAAGGCCGGTGGTGGTCATTGGCAAGACAGTGGCAGATTGGGTGCTAATCCTTCCTGAAATTGCACAAGTTAGCAGATCAGATTTGGGGGGATAGATTTTGGGATGTGCCCAAGTTACAAACTTGTAATCCTGATTGTTTTTTCTGTGCTGTACTATATACCTGGTTTTTTTTTTTTTTTGAGAAGAAAAAAAACCAGGTATATACCTGGTGTTACCTTGACACCTGCTTAGATTTTTTTTTTTCTTTTCATTAATAAAATTTTCTTTTTACTATAAAAAGTTACTATTTGTAGCATTTACTTTTTATAGTAATGACTTATGATTTATAGGTCAAAACCAGATCTGATAACAAGAACCCCAAGAGGAAAATGATTCAGAATAGGGAGACCAAACTAACAAGTCTAACAAGGGGAGATTGAAGACACCAAGGAAACTATAAAAAATAAAAAACAAAAGCTGAATGAAAACTAACCAAGAACAATATCAAAAAGAAGAATAAACACCAAAGGAGCCTCGTAGTGCAGATATGATCCAAATCAACTTCAGATTAGATGTTTGGTTTAACAGCAGTTCTTCCATGGTGTGTGCACTGACCTTGCTTGGTAAGAAAATCAATTTCTTATGTTTTGCATCACATTCTGGAAAGTGCCATTTTCATCAGAAATACTTGAAACTGTTCTGCTTCTATCAGAGGTGATAATTTTAGGGTAGCTTTGAAGCATGTAAGCTTTTTCAATAGTTTTTTTTTTATTTCCTACCAAAAAGGTTCTTCTTCATTTTCTTTTTCTTATATATATATATATATATATATATATATATATATATGTTCTCTTGCTTTTCAAATCAATGTTGGTCATTATTTTTATTTATGTTATGATTTATGTGTATCTTACATTTCCATGTCTCAAGTTATATATGCTTGTAACAAGCAGTTCTTATATCATATATATGTCTAACCAATAATTTATAAAATCATATGCAGGCATTTCTTTGAAGACTCAAGAACTCTATGCTATTGTTTTTACCACTCGGTACTTGGATATCTTTACTGATTTTATCTCACTCTATAATACTATCATGAAGTTAATCTTCTTGGGGAGCTCCTTTTCAATTGTCTGGTACATTAGGCAACACAAGATTGTTCGTAGGTCCTATGATAGAGAACAAGACACTTTTCGCCACTTTTTCCTTGTACTACCCTGCCTACTTTTGGCCCTATTTATTAATGAGAAGTTTACCTTAATGGAGGTAATCACATGCCTTTACTTTTTGGATACTAATGTCTACAGTCTATTCTTAATCCCTATTCATAATTTTCTTAAATTACCATTCATTTTAATTTTATGATACTCTTACATCTTGGTGATTGTACAAACTTGTGTTTCTGTTGCTTTGACTGGTGGATTGTCTTTCTTACTTTTCCATAACAATGGGGCAGGTAATGTGGACATTTTCCTTATATTTGGAAGCTGTTGCCATACTTCCTCAGCTGGTATTGTTGCAAAGGACTAGGAACATCGACAACCTGACAGGGCAATATGTTTTCCTTCTTGGGTAAATCATCTTAAGTTGTTTTGTCAGCTCAACACAATATTGTAAAATCTAATTATCTGATGTTCTTATACTGCTTTCTGTAGATTTTTTTTAAGATCCATATAAAAAGAAATTGTCAAAAGAGGTCTGTTGAGTTATTTTCTGGTATGTTCTTCACATAGTTCACGATATCATGGGTTTCTAATTGGAACATATTGTCAAATTAAACTAAGCTAATGTTACATTTTGAAACTTTTGGTTTTCTCACCATGTCATGGACTAATATTCAAATAACACATGCCCTTCTTGTTGCTTCTTTTTTTCCTTTTCTTTTTAATACACATTTATACAACAATTGGAAAATGGTAAATTTAGTTACCTTTAGGTATGTTCCCCATGTGCATGATATCATGGATTTCTGATTGGGGAAACATGGAAAAGGCCATTGCCCAATGTTGGCCCTAGCTATCTGTGGTCTTGGTGACTTGGGAAACATCATTTTTCACCTAAACAACTTTCTGGTGAAGATAGTACCACAGTGTGCCAACAAAACCATTTTCTAGGGAACACATTTGCATATCTATTCTGTTCTGCCATCTTTGTCATCATCATCATCATCATCCATGCCTTATCCCAAGTCCCAACCATATGGGGTTGGCTACATGAATCCTGTTTCGCCAATCCATTCTATTTAAAGCCATATCCACTGTTAAATTATTAGTGCTTAAATCATTTTTTGCTACTTCTACCCATGTTTTGTTGATTTACCCCTAGCTCTTCTAGCCCCTTCCACTGTTCTGCCATCTTTGTCTGTGTGAAAAATCAGCATCTTGACTCTTGACAAGGAAAAAACCTTCATCAGAGACAAAACTGTGTCATCACATACATGTTGAAAGTAGTAATATAAGTAAAATTGGACGAGCCTATTTTATTTTTTATAGGTCTTTTGTTACTGCTGGCTCATTATGAGGCCCATGATCTGATTTTTCCTTCCCATGTCCTTCTCTCTGTGCTATTTTCTTCTTTTAACACCAGATTTTATTTATTCGTCAATTGATTGTTAGGAATTATTTGACAAGAATATAGAATGAATTAAAATTTTAAAGTGTAGAGATGTTTAGAACTGACAATTTTCGAAATCAGGTATTGTCAGTGATGTTCCATCAACTTGCTCATTCCAAATATCAAGAATGTGCTCTAGATTATGTGCTTATGGCTTAGTTTGGAAGGAATACAAATACAAATATATACAAAATACTAGATTTTGCACTCTACATATTTGTTTTTGTACTCCTTCCAAACTAAGCCTATGCTACAAATGGAACTTACTGGAACAATGGCACAGAATAGTCTTTATCTGGTTTTAGCCTTCCAAGATATTTTTTTTCTCTTGCAAGACCAACCATAAAAGATGAAAGCCTTCCAAAACAGTTAAAGTTTAACCCTGTTGAGTTTCCGCCTCTTTTCTCTCTCCAGCCTTCAGATATCAACATCTCTCTTAGAGACTGGTATTGGAAAAACACTCGGAATAATCTCTGTTTTCTTGACCTTTGTTTCCTGTTATGAATCGGAACTAACAAGCCAGAAAGAAGAAAAGATGTTCAACATGAAAATTAGAGACTTTTTTTTATAGGTAACAGAAAGTTATCATCAAATAGACAATAATATACAGAAAGTGATACAACCATGGAGTGAGTACCCCTTAGAGCATGTGTAACAAACTAACAATTAAGTCCTAATGCAATCATTCCCTGCCCAACCCTTACCACAGTATCAGGTTAACATTTTTTTCCTTAAAACAGCTGAGCCCAAAAAACTGTTCCCTTACAACCCATTGCCTTGCTAGAGAGTCTGCCATTCCATTAGAGACTTTGATCTTAAAACAGGTTTCTAATAGGCTTCGATAGATGTGTTTTCCTCTCAACCGTCATCTTTAATCAAGATACTGGCATGCATAGTATATATTATATAACCTTTTCTGTAATTGGAAGCTTACTCATAATTCTTTATCTATTAGTACCGTATTGCTTGTTCTTGGTGCAATGGTAAAATCTCAGGCTAACAAGTGTGAGAACATGGTTTTGAGTCTAACAATGGCATTTTGTACAAAAAAAAAGAAGTTTAGTATTAGGTCCGTATCCAGTCTAGCCCTCCCAAGACCCTGGATAGTTAGGACCAATATTGTGTAATGTCCCTTTTTTTATTAGTAATTTATCCAACATCATCATTGGATAGTCTAGGCTTTCCTGCATTTTTAGGTTCCAGTCAGCCACATTTTGACTTCAGTTTTAGATATATGCAATAAAACTTGATCTTGATCAATGCAATCTGTTTGGTCCATTCTCCCCTACTAGATGATCTTGCAAACAGGTAGTTGATATCAATAAACAATTAATTCCTTTGTTTCTTTTAAAACGTCAAATTGCACACATGAAGCCTTTTCAAATTCAACATGGCATATAAAAGTGGGAAATGGAATTTTGCCTTGAAACTTTGGGTTTACTTGTGTCTTTGAGTAGTGTCATGCCAATTAAAAATAAAGTCTTCTTGCCAGGAAATTGCGTTGTTGTCAACCTTTATCTTGCACCTCTTTCCTGCAGTATGTGATAATACATACTTGTGCATTCACATTCATCTAGTTCTATCACTCTTTTTCTTGTTACATAGACTCTCCACTTAATAATTTGTGTTCTTATGCAGTGCATACCGGGCATTGTATATTCTCAATTGGATATATCGCTACTTTACTGAGCCACACTATGTACACTGGATAAGTAGGACTCTCTCTCTCTCTCTCTCTCTCTCGCTTGTGTTTGTGTATATGTGCATATGCATTCGATACATTTCAGTAGATGCCTGAGGTACATCAAACCAATGCACCAACCAAACTGCTACACTTCAAATTGTGTGCCATTCCAAGTGAAGCAGAGATGCTTGTATGGGACTGTAAGGAAATGATAATATATCCTTTCAGCTGAGTGCCTTGCTCGGAACTGTTTTGTAATTTTTCAGCCACTGTCATCATTGAGGCCCATCAATCATGTCAGAAAACTTTGAATACCTGCTTATGGATCAAAATCAATTTCCTCGTAATTTTCTAGCTGTCAAAGGGAAAGCTCTTGAGTGGATTATACCTGACTAATGCCACTGTTTTTGCATTGGTCCATTGAGGGAGTAACTCAGTACCTGGGAAGATTAGAAATCAGAAGTGCATATCGCATGTCAAGTCATTTATTTATTTTTATTTTTTATTTATTTTTCTGCATTCCTACTTTTTGGCTACTCTACTGTCAGCTTGGATATCTGGGCTTGTTCAAACATTATTGTACGCAGATTTCTTCTATTATTACTTCCAAAGGTAATAACCCCATTCTACTCAGCATTGTATTTAATGTACACTAATGCTTGCATAGGGATGTAAATTATACTCTTAATTTTGTGATTTGCAGCTGGAAGAACAATGAAAAGCTCCATTTACCAGCATGAGTTCTTGAAGGTCCAGTGCAGGTTCTATGCATTTGTATTTGTTTTGGTCAGGTGCTCGAGTCTTTTCATTTCTTTTATCCTCCTTTTTGTCCATGTAGGTGCTTTGTTGGATTGTCAAGCAAAAGGCAAGTTTTTTCAATTTTCTATTGCAAGGAGGATTGAGGATTTACAGCTAGTGTGTCATATTATTGCTAACATGGAAAAAGCATGTAGTCTCTAGAGTGCAACATGTTTTATGTAAAAACCAGGGATCACAGTGCATATTCTTTTCTGGATTTCCATCTTTGACAAATATTTTTTATATCACAAATCAGCCTACAGCATAATCTTTGATGTACTCAAATTCTTCTGTTTTCAATTGTCTCTCATTTAAGTGATATTTATTAAGAAAATGGAAGCACAAGCTGGTGCAGGCAGTTGATGGGTTTACCCTTAATTGAGGGAATTCAGATAAGCTCTCCCGAATTCTAATCAGCCTCGACTGAAGTATCCTAGTTGTTTCACCACTCAAAACAGCTTCTGCTACCACTTCGTAATAACTGATCACTAAGAATGTATTTGCACTGGCACATAATTTGGTGATCCAATTACAATGCTTTTTTGTTGATTTCTGGTTTCTACTGGGAACCAACAGATCAAAAAGTGATTGCTATTCTCTTTTCTCTTATCGATCAAACGATTATGGTTGATCTCTGTAAAATCATCAAAATTTGCCCACCGCAAATTTACTTCATTTTTCACACTTTTTCACAATAATTTAAAAGGTAGGTCATGAAATAAACAGGTTAAAACTTTTGATTGGGCAACCTCGTAAGGACAGACATATCTGGGGATTGAATGATAGAAGGTGAAATGAATTAAAACATATTTAAAAGCAAAATCTTTTGCACGTATGGAACCACATTCATGAACAATTGCAATTGTCTTGCATCCATCAACAAATTCCTCTAAATGGGATCTTGTAGCTACACAGTTTTCACCCAAGACTCAGTTTGGAAGGAGTACAAATACAAATGTATAGTTATGTACTGCACAAATATATACAAAATAATAAAAATTACAAAATACAAGGTTTTGCATTCTATAAATTTGTATTTGTACTCCTTTGGAAAGAGTGTAAATGCTGGTTTGGTGTATAACTGTATATATGTTTTCTGGTTCAATTTTGCTGGTCTTTGATAAGAATGCATTTATGTAAACTGAGTTTTTACAAATTTGAAGGCATATTTGCATCCAAAATGAGAGCAAAATGAATGCAAACTTTGCACTTAAAGTTGGCCAATATTTAAAAAAAAAAATCGAATCTAGGAACTTCTGTTTGCACCCATTACAACTAAAACTTGTTTGTTGAGGAAGAGAATAAATTTATTTGCCAAATTAAACCAACTTTACATTTGCATGGTATATTTGTATTTGCACTCTATTTACTCTTCTTAAATGAAGCCCTAAGGAGGGCATCACAAATCATAATGAATAAATGTTTAGATCATTATTCACAAATCTGAAGGTTAATCTCAATAAAAGTGTAGTAGCTGGGGTAAATATGGGGCAGGAGGAGTTGGAGTTGTGGGCAAGGGAACTCAGATGTGTGTCCAGTGATTGGCCTATGAAGTACGTAGGACTCCCTTTAGGTGCAAACCCTAGCTCTGTGACCTTCTAGAGCCCGGTAGTAGAGAGATTTGAGAAGAAGTTAACGGCTTGGAAGAGGAACTATATTTCTTTGGGAGTTAAGATAACCTTAATCAAATCCACCTTAGCTAACACTTTGTTCTATTACCTATCGGTGTTTAGTGTACCTCAGGTGATTGTTAAGAAGTTGGAGAAAATTATGCGGGTTTTCTTGTGGGAACCAAGATAAACAAAGAAGGATCACCTAATCAGATGGGAAATAGTTTGTAGACGGGAGGATGGAGGGATGGGGTTAGGAAGGCTGAAAAAAAAGAACCAGGCTCTTCTAGGGAAGTGGTTGTGGAGATTTCCGAGAGAATCAAATAGGTTATGGCATAAAGTGATCACTAGTATTCATGGGCTCTCTCTGAACGGGTGGGATGCCGAAACTTCTAGTAGGGCCTCTTGCTTTTCACCCTGGAGAGCAATTCAGAAATGCCTTCCATCCTTTCTCAATTACATCATATTCGATTTTAATTCAGGTAACAAGATCAAGTTCTGGGAGGATCTTTGGGTGGGTGAAGTCCCTTCAAAGGTTTATTTCCCTTCTTTGTTCACCCTTTCTGCTCTCTAGGGTAAGCCAATTTCTGAGTTTCTACTCCCCTCTCCCTCGGCTAACGGGCTTGGGTGGAATCTAGGTTTTCGTAGAAATGTGAGGAACACTGAGTTAGGCCTTCTTTCAAATCTTCTACGCATTCTTGAAGGGGTTTTCCCAGACCTAAGTAAACAAGATGATAGAATTTGAACTCTACATCCTTCTGGGGTTTTCAATTGTGTTTTTTTCAAATCGTTGTCTGTGCCTTCTCAACCAAATACTCCATTTCCGGTCAAAGAGATTTGGTGTCATCCGGTTCCCCCCAAAGTGAGTGCTTTTTGTTGGGAGGTCTTCCATGGTGCAATCAACACTTGTTATATTTTACAGAGGAAGAGACCTGGATGGTGTCTCTCACCTAATTGGTGTTGCTTGTGTGAATCCAATGGTGAATCTGCTCTTCACTTGTTCATTTCCTGTCCTTTTGCTTGTGGTATTTGGGATCGGTTATTTTCTCTTTTTGGGTGCAGGTGGAATACTCTGGACAGATTGGATAGGTTGTCCGATAGATCCACTTTCAGCTGGTCAAAAAAGGAGGGGAAGACTGATGTGGAGGTGCACAAGAGCGGCAATAATATGGACCCTATGGGAGGAAAGAAATAAGCGTATATTTGAGGAAAAGAAAAGAAGCAAGGAAGCATTAATTGAAGGGATCATTGGCAAAAGTGGCCTTCTGGATAAAGACTTTGGAGTTGTTCTCAGATTTCTCTATTGATGATATATTAAGGAACTGGAGAACAATTGCAGCCTCAATTTCAGCTAAGCGGAGGACACTAAAGGAAATGGGAACCCCCAGAGGTAGGTTTCCTGAAATTAAATTTTGATGGAAGTAGTTTTGGGAACCCAGGGCCCTCTGGAATTGGAGGGGTTCTAAAGAATGAAAGCATAATGATTTTGGGAATGTACTCAAGTCCCATTGGGGTGTGTGACTCTGTAACAGCAGAATTGAAGGCAGTACTTTATGGGATGCAGAAATCTTTGGAAATGGGGTTTTGGAAGCTAATAGTTGAAGGCAACTCCAAAATAGTAATAAGTTGGTTTAAGCAGAACGAGAAGATTCCTTGGTTTTTCAGAAACAATTTCAAACAGTTTAATAGGTTCTCGGGGGATATGCAGCTGATATTTCAATGGGCTCCTAGGTCGGCAAATGGCTTAGCTGCAAAGCAAGGGGTAAACAAAGCAAAGTGCTTATGGGGCTCAATTGTGAGACTCATCATCAATTTGTCTATGTTTTCTATTGTTGGTAGCCAAGGCTGCCCATGTTTTTGTATTATCTTTTTTCTCCAAGTAATGAAATCTACTTTGATTACTGATCAAAAAAAACAAAAACTAAATATATTCAATCAAAGAATTCTTAATCCTATAACAAAAGAGCAAGGCTAGCCCACTGTCTAACCAAGGACAAACTTTCTCAAAGACCCCAAGTTCCCCAACTATGTCGAAGATCAAAAAGGCAAAAACAAATTTACTTGTTTTCAATAAATAGAAACAAATTCACTCTTAGGGCTTGTTCCTGAGAGGAATCTTATAACTTCAAGAGAAAAATGAGTATTCATTTCCCTCGTCTCTTATTTCTTAAAGAAGATTAAGCTTTATTCATTTGTAACAGTGCAACTTATCTGAATAAATGTACTTACCCATATTCATTTTATTTTCAGGATTCCCAAGTAAATAAAATGACATTTTTACCCATAAAAAGTAACTATTAAAATGAGTAAAATGGTCCCATCATGTTTTGTAAAAATTTCTTTTAACTAGGAAAGTTACTGAACAACCTAGGAGATGAGTAAGTTTTAAGGGTAATTTTAATGTGGAGTCCATCGCTTAATGCAAAAAAAAAAAAAAAACATAAGAAAGTTGGTCAATGGGAAAAATTTACCCATTGCCAAACTTTCCCATGCATATTTACATGCAATCGGGGCCTTAGAACTTTTCCAATAATACTCCAAAACACAAACAAAAATTCTAGTATATGAGATTAAAATGAATATTTGACCAATTTTAGAATTCAAAACAACATTATTTGCATTCAAAGTTCAAAAGAAAGAAAAGTTCACTGTTCATCAATACCAATATACCTCTTTATAATAATTGCACATTTGCACTTTCAAATGTCAGACGTCAAAGCAATCGAACAAACCCTTCAAAGGCAGGCTTTAGATGAAACTATGATATTTCAACTTTCAATAGTATTAGTTTCAATTTGAATTATGTTCATGAATTCTACAAGAAACTGATCTGCTAGTTACATTAGTATTGCAATCTCATCCACAGCACAGATCACATGAACATTTTCCTGCTCCATATGTAGGTTTTAATGGAGCCAAAATATTATCCTCTTCTATTAAACAACCGTCAATTGTCATTGGCTTTTCTGCTTGACCCAATAAACCATAAAAGCAAGAGAAATTGGGTTTGTGAGCTATAAAATAAAAACACAAAAATAGTTTTAAGTATTATGTTTATATCCAATACTATTCAAATCCAGCAAAAAAAGGACCATCAATGTCCGTAGGACATAACCTGTTTTAAAAGCCGGATGAAGATACCATTATCATTTGATTTCTCAAGCCCAAGATCGGATCAACCATATTTCTTTTCTTTACATTTAAGTCTTAGTACATGGAACAAAAATCAAATGCTTAGCCTAAGGGCCTCCACAACCACCTCCAGTCTGGTGCAGCATTGCGTCAATTTCATCACCATCCTCCATTTCAAGCTGCAATCCCCCAAGTCAATAAAAACCAATCACTAAATTGCAGACAATGATAGCCAAAATTCATGTAAGGATGATCAGCCTATCCAATAATATGGACTGCATACTCAATAAAAAGCAATAGCAATTAGAGTGACACATTAATGGAGATGAAAGCCACCAATGAGAAACATAGATGTACCATTTCCTTGAAAAGTGTGCAATACAATGATGCAAAAGAATGTCCCAGAACAAGGTAACATGATCAACCAATCCAATGATGTTTGGTGCACATTACCCAAGTAGCTAGAAGGTTCAGAATGTGGAAAAAACACGAGGTTCAATTTTTTTTGATAAATGAACATGGCGTTCACATTTGAAAAAGCACTGAACAGGCCCACGATAACACCAGAGGACAGGAAAGAGAACAATGTGGGATAATTCTTATTAATGAACATTCAATGTAACTTTAAGGAGGCCAAGAACAGAGGTTCCTGGAGTGGGAGTTTCTCCGTTGAGGCCTTGGTGCCCAGAAGTGGGAGCAGACATGGTGGATTGTCAAAGTAAAAAAGTGCTAGAGAATGTGCATGCTGTATCCTTTTTATAATTTTGAGTGTATCAAAGGCACCATATGGCATCACCCGTAATTAAGTATTTTAGTTATTATGTACTTCAAATATTTTGTTTACTTTCAAAAACTAACTATTCACTATGACATGGACGGGGGAACAAAGTAGGCATTGGGAATAAGGTAGCACGCATTTGACATTTGACAATGCACGTTGAGAATGACAATGTGCATGTCTGAGAGGTGGTTTTGAAGGGTTATCAAGCACGCCTGCTCCAGAATAGGGTACTTTAAAACACAGAATAGGGTTCATTAGTTACATAAGACAGTGAGGACTGAAGAGTCATTAGACATACAACTACAAGGAAAGAGGAAATAGTGGATTTGCATAACAAATGAACTGCTGTTCTGAGTAGGACCAACTTTGTCTTTTAGGACAACTCCAGTTACTAAAGTCAATAAAATAGAGCCACTTTTCCTTGAAGTTTGCATGCCTATCCGCATGTGCATATGTGTGCATGTTGCATGGACACTGACATGGGAATTGAAATCTGATGTTTGTCCAAGTTCACTTGAAAATATGAGAAAATATGAACTCATTGACATCTATGAAAAAGTATATACTATTAAAATAGCTCATATTTTTAAATTCTAAAATTAAATACCTGCAGAAAAAATGTTGCCTTTGCTAGTAGGTAATATTTGATTGAAAAATGACATTCATCTTTTATAGTTTGATGTTCATTTATGTCAAATAAGCTAGGAGATAAAAAAAAGGAAATGCTACACAAAGTGCCCTCAAGAATCCATGGCATGTCAGACTATGACACATCCATGTTGGAGACATCATCCATTAAGGAGAGTCCATGCAATACTGGAGAGAGAGAGAGAGAAAGAGTTACTTCATCTGGCGTCTGCTCTCCACGAAGGCGCCGGCCATCAAACAAGAATGCAATGGAGTTGAGATCAACCGATTGTCGATCACAATATGCATTCATGAGCTTCCGAAGTTGGGTGCTACGTTTAATCCTGAAAAATACTTCATTCCCATCCTAAAAATCAAACAATAACAGCAAAACAGAAAACAATGAGAGCAGCTTAATAGTTGAAGTGTTCAATGCTAAAGGAGGATATAGATTTCAGTATATATAAATAAATACCGGGTAGAAGTACATCCCATTAAAGGTGGTGTTTGGAAAATCTTTTCAGTACATAGGGGTGTTCAAATTCAGTTGTCAAACCGAAAACCGAACCGAATAAATCAATTCGGTTTGGTTATTTTGGTTTTTAGTTCGGTTCGGTTTTAAAATTTTAGAAGTTTTGATTTTCAGTTTCCAGTTTGGTTTGAGAAAAAAATCAACCAAATCAAACCAAAAACTGAATTAACCAAAATAAATACATATATTTATATTCTAATTATAAATATTCATATTAATATTAACATTAGTATTTATATTAATAATAATATATAATACGTATTTTAATTATAAATATTGATATATGTTAATAATAATTATTAATATAAATATAAAATACATTTTGATTTTAACTAACCAAATTAACCAAACCAAACCGAACCGACYGAATGAACACCCCTCTCAATACATCTGTCGGTCTGCAGAAAGCTCAAAAGACCAAAAATGGTCTTCTCCGCTTGGTATCATGTAGACTGAAAGACCAAAGACAGTGCACAGAAGACCAAAAAAGCTGAAAATCAGGAAGCTTCAAATGAAACTTTTGGTCTTTCCTATTTTGAATATAGCCTTCCCAGCTGTTTTTAACAGAACGGTAGACCATGATACGAATCAAGCATCCTGGACAGTAGACCCTCAGATTTTTTTTCCTAGACAAATGGGCCACATAATGGGGGTAGTCCTCCCCAAAACCGTCCAACCCTGGTTAAGGCAGGATTCAACCCTATGTCTCCACTAGGACCAAGCTATATAATAGGAGAATGAATCCAAACACAGATAAAAGGGGCACCATCATATACATTGATGAGAATATTGTTTAGAGAATAACAACATATTCAGGGACCTACTTAACAGCTCAAGGCTTTAGGTTGAATGTTCCTTGAGATGGTAGTGTTAGAGAATCAAAACCTATTCATAGACTGTTCAATCTACAAGCTTAAGCTATTAAGTGAGGTTCCTGAATAGGTTTTTATTCTCTAACAAATACAATTACCACTGCTGCAGTAAAGTTTTTTTTTTATTTTGAGTTTGGCAAGATAAAGGTTCCTGGAAAGTGTCCCAGAGACAGTAAATTAAGCAATTAGCTAATTAACTAGCCCATTATATTTCATCAGAACAAACTGTTAAGCACCACTAGACCCCTTTTCTTTATCAATTGGTAACTGACCATCACAAGAAAATACACAAAAAAAAACTTTTCTGGACAATAACAGGCATCATTTTTTTATGTCAGTATACAAAAGGGTTCAGCACCACTAGACCCCTTTTGTATGTGCATCAGTGCATATGCATGCGAACATATATTTTGGGAGGAAAATAGGCGGTTAAATCTGCAACTAAACTAAAAATGAAGGCATAAAACAAATGTATGCAAGGCTACGCCATTCAACACGAGTTTGTGTAGTGTCAATTTGATAACCAGAAAATATGCAATCTACATCATGAATGCATTGATGTTCATATAGCATATCTATACATACACTGATCAAAACAATCCTTAAGGGGCTCAAATTCTTATGCACCTACCATCTGGCCTACAAAGCTTTGTAGAATCCATCTACTTGGAAAAGCCAACATCACATAGTTCATATCCCTTCATTTTGATGCTCAAAACATGTGAAGCAAAGGTCACAGTTGACCATAAATACGGGACAAAAAGGTTTTGTGCACAAAATAGGAATCAATCAAAAGAATATCCTAATAAGATAGGTGTTTTAAAAGCGCAAGGGGCAATTTGCACCCAGCACACAAGGCAAGGGTGCATGGCCTTTTTGAAGCAAGGCACAAAAATACAAAAAATAAATAAATAAATAAAGCCAGAATTTTCAAAAAATGCCAAAATTTCAAAAAAAAACGCAAAAAAAAATCAAAAGGTATTAAACATAATATTAATAAAAAATATAAACTTAAATTTTAAAATAAATGTTTTAAAAAACTATTATCTAAAATTTAAATACATAAGCACAACATGTAAAGTGCATTCAAACAAAAATTTAAAAATAAAATCAAGCATATAAAACATTTTCAAGCATGTAAAGCTTATGATCTCTTATTTCCTCAATTGCATTACTTCAAATAGCTCATGTGATGTAAAACATCTTGAGTTCTTGATTCTATGAGTCGCCTTTGTACCAAGCCCCTCGAGGCAATCCCAAACAAATCCATGTTAGGGTCTTAAATTCTTAATCCTTACAAAAAAAAATGATTTTATACTATTAATTTTCTTTTAAAATGATATTTTACTAGGATGAATGAATGAACAACATTAGAAAAATAGGGGCTTTGGGCTGAGGTGCACACCTCAGCTGTTAGGTTCAAAAAATAACAGAATGCAAAAATATTAATAAAAAGGCATACACCTGGGCTGAGGCGCAAGGCACACCAGGCACACACCTTTTGAAAGGTATGTGCCTCGCCTAAGCACCTAGGTGCGCCTCAGGCGCACCTTTTAAATCACTGAATAAGACTACAAGCATGGCTTCAGAGCTAATTAACCATAACAATGTGACAAAAGAAACCTGTAAAGTTCAAGCTGACCATAGGTTTGCAAAAGTAGAAGAGATCAAGGATCTTGTAATAAATGTGAGTGTAGCCTCCTTGGGTGGCATTTGGTATCGCTGAACAGAACCAAACGCTGAAAATATTGCTTTTTCAGCAATCGGTGATCATTCAGTTGCACCTCCGAACATACCCTCCGAATGCTGAAAACACCTCCAAAAATTTCAGAGGTAACAGACTAAATTTGTTTCCCACCGATGTGTGATGGAGAGCAAATAGGAATATTGGTCCGAGCTTGCACATGGTCACAACCTAGATGAAGCATCTTGAATAGGGGACGTGGCGGCTCTGTTTCTGCAATAGAATGCACAAGGGGCAGCAACCTGAAGAAAGGTGGTGCCAAAAGCCCAAAAACATTGAGCTGTTAACCTGCTCACTGGCAATAGAGGAGGAGAAAGAGGGCACTGGGCACAGTAGTGCTCACTAAAAACAGAGGAGAGAGAGGACATGGTCATGAAAAAATGAAAGAATAAGAAGAAAGGGGGAGAAAGAGATAGAAAGAGAGGGCACCAGCAACAGAGTTCAAATGTCTGTTCACTGGCAACAGAGGAGAGAGAGGGATCAAACGTGAAGAAGGGGAGAGAGAGAGAGAGAGAGAGAGAGAGATTGGGCAGAACCATGGAATACTTACCATCACAGATCGCTGTTCAGTCATGGTGCAAGAGGTTGAAGACAACCTCTAATTTGTTTAGTTTTATTTTTTATAATATTAATATTATTAACATTTTATAAATATTATTTTATAATATTATTATTTTGATAATTTTAATCTTATAATTAATATTGTGAATCTTATTTATTATTTTTAATTTTCTAATTTTAGTATTTCTTAATATTTAACATTTTTATTATTTTATAATTTTATAATATATAAAATTTTAATAATTTTTGTCATAAGTGAGAATTTGAGGGGTAAATTTGTAAAATGCACATTTTTCAGATGTTAGATCATTCAAATTGTCGAATATCTTAGTCACATTCAGATATCTACAAAAGTAGAAGAGCAAATTTTCTTCGGAATGCTTTCAAGGCTTTTTTGGAGATTTTTTCACTTTTCAGACTTCAGAGTTCAGATTTACCAAACGCCACCTTAGAACTCAAACGAAAAAATGGAAGCACAGCAGAAAGCAGTAGATTTCTGTCATACTGCCCAATGATATCTTTACCTAAGACCACTAATATTAAGTAGACTTTGGTCTATGATGCAGTAAAGGGTAATGAAACCTATTGTTTGTCATCTTTAATAAATAAAGAAATAACGAACTTTCAATTTCGATTTTGATAACTCTCTCTTACCCAGTTAGCAGCGGGAAGTTTTGCAACTATCCTACCAAAGCATGCTATAAATAGAAAGCTAGCCACCATCTATAAGATATGCATAATAGAAATCTCAAGTGGGAGAATAGCAGGGGCCATCCTGCATCCTTAATAATAGAATGACAATTTTCTAACTAGAAACCATCAACAACAATAGGCTAGTAAACCGAATTATGTAAACAGAAAAGAGAAATAATTACTAAAAAGCAGGACCAGCACAAAAAAATGAAAATTTAAAAAAAAAAACAGTGTGGAAAGGATGGTTGATATCTTCAGAAATTTGAAATTAAGCCAACATGCCTAACAAATTTGAATCAATAATCAAGTAGTCATACTCTTATTGAAAAAAAAAACTAATACTCTTAGAAAGGTAACCCTTGTTTACTATATGAAAACATGCCTTCCCTTCAATGAACATTCCTTTGATATTGAATATTTCCTTTCAACGCATCCAAAATCAATAACTAAAAACTATGAAATTGTATGGAGTCCATAATCCACACTGTAACTCCAAACCCAACTAGAAAAACAGCCAGACCCAAATAGGAAGGTGGAACAGCAATGCATTGATAGGGCACGTATATGATAAGTTGCTAACTAGAGCTAGCACCCACCACCAAGAGCTAGGAGCCAAGGGCACCAAGGTATCATACGATACAAACATGCAAATATGCAGATTTCTTCCTCCAGTCACTGAGCAAGAACAACAGCAAGGTTTAATGTTTCAGAGGCAATGCAAACTCCAAACCGAGAACCACTAATTAATTCCTCGCTTCCCTCCAAACCCCAATCACAACTTCAACGTTAAAAACCTAAACAAAGAAAACATCATACACGTTTCAACATGAAAACTGATCCAACCATAAACATTGATCTACACGAACATACAACCAAACAATCAATTATCAAATCAACCGACCCAGAAACAATAATCAGCAATTATGATAAAGGGTACCCAAAATACAAGAAAAAATTAAAAAAAATAAAAAAAAAAACTTATATAATAACAACAAATTATTTTTAAAACCCTAAAAAAATGGGGAAAAAACAACTGAAGAATGGGAGAGTATTCTTCACCTGGCCCTTGACCTTGAGATTGATGTGAGCCGACTGGTCCGTCGGCTTCTTATCCTCGTCCTGAGATGGGGCTGCAGACATTTTCGGACCAGAAAAGTAGGGTTTTTGCTTCTGCAAGTCGAACAGCAGACAAGGGGAAGAAGAGCCACGAGTCTTTAAATAATGAAACCCTCCTCGTTGTATACGTCAACCAACCCAAGTAAAACCCTTAATTAAAATAGGATTTCGAATCCGGGAATCGGAAGGAAAATGGCAGGATCAGGAATACTTGATTCGCCAGAAAAGCTGTTTGGTTTTCATTTCCATGGTGGAAGCAAAAAAGGACGGCTGTAATTGGTTAGTTTGGAATCTGACGGCTGGGAATTTTGAAACGGTGGGTATCTTGTGGATGGAATAGGCTTAGAAGTCATTTTCATGCTTTTTCTTTTGACTTTCTACGACTTGTATAGTTGTACCTTTGAAAGCAATTCTACCTTGTGGAGTTATGAAAAGACATTTTAACCCCACTTTTTTTTTTTCATTTCAGTTATAAGTGCAACTTGGGCCTTGTTGGATCCGGCTGATGTCACCCAACTCAATCCTCAACCAGGTGAACTTTAACCTGGCCTAACTAAAACCAATTTGAATTCCAAATAAATAAATAAAACCAAGTTGGGTTGAACTTGATTTCTGACCACCTGGTTTTTTAAAAACCCTAACCCAAACGAGCCCAATTTTGGGTTGAGTCAGTTGGGTTTCCAATGGGGCCACACCTTGTTGCACCCAACAGATTTTTGTGATAACAAAGATTGGTTTCTTTGTCTTTTCACCATTGGGAATGTGCCCTAATCACTTCCTTCTTGGAGAGTGATTTTGATTTCTTAAAAAGTGTTCTGAATTTTTATTTGCTTTTTTAAGGGTTGGATTCATCCTTATCCACATAGAGTATGGGTCTTTGTTTACTACAAACCATAAGAATGGATCTCCTGTCCAAATAGCATCACATGTGCAAGTGGGGGGCATGGTATTCTTTGAATGAATATGACAATTGATAACTTCCTCACGGCTCTAACTAGGCCTACCCCTTTTAATATTATATTATTATATAAATATACACGTAAATGTGTATATATATAAATATATATCATACATACATACATATACATATATACCGGCATATGCTACAAAAGCACAATACACAATTGGCTATGTAACTCAATCATAAATTAACACATCAACAATTCATACAGTTAATAGATGTATCTGCAACTTATGTGTTTATTCATGATTGGGTTACATAGCTTGTTGTACATGTCTGGCTTGAGTTGAGATCTGCTCCCCACAAAATACACTCCAATATGCTTCTAATATGATCTGACATCACACAACTCACCATGAGAATGGGACCCACCATGTATGAGACATGCAATCTCATCATGTTGGAAAATATTTTGTGGGCATTAAATTTGGACTCATGTTATTTATAGCACATCTTGTGCATATTCTTAGCAAATTCATAGCTATGTTTGGTTTGATAGAAATAAGAGAGAAACCAAAAGTTGAGAGAAAATTGTTAACAAATTTTGTACATCAAAAACATAAATAGAAAGGCCATGTTTCATACTTGTTTGTTGTCATTGATGAGATCATACTTTTGAAACGGCAATCATGTTTGAGTTGTGGGGCTATATAGATCATGGTGTAAGCTGCATAGGTAGCGCCTTGTTTAGTAGCATATCCAAAATAGACTCCTACCTGTATTGGAAAATGGGGTGCTCACTTTAAGGCTATGTTTGGTTTGGAAAAAGGTTTCCCTACCTTTTCCTTCCTTTCCCTGCATTTTCCTTCAAATCAAACATAGCCTAAATGGAATTTGGATCTGCTAAACTGCTCCTCACGGCCACATCCCATTATGTATTGGGAACATCTCCCCATGAATAATAAATACAAGTATGGGGGATGTTCCCCATGTGCGGCTAGGACATGCTACGAGGTCAGTGTGAGGAGCACTCTTGAAATGGCACAATGTTCTGTATGTATGATGCATTTGAAAGGAGTACAGCTATTGCTAAATGTGATTTGTAAATCATACAATTCATTAGCATTGCTCATATAAGATTATGTTTGGTTTGAAGGAAAAGGTAAGGAAAGGAAGGGAAAGACAAGGAAACCAATATAAGGTTTGTAAACGTTTCCCTACCTTTCCCTACATTTTCCTTCAAACCAAACAAAATCTAAAAGAAAAGAAGTAAGAAAAATCCATAAATGAAAGTTCATTGCCATGGTAATCAACTACTTTTGCTGACCTGTAAGTGCATGTGCTATGCATATGTGCAAGTTAGTATTAACCATGTATGGTATATGATATTTGGCTTGAAGTTTTTACAATTTGCATAGAACCCAAGGTAGTATTAATTTGTTGAATGAATGGGATATAAATTCCCCCAAATTTGATCTTACTGCATAGTAATAAAGACTAAGAACCCCTTAGCTATCTTGTTGGAGTAATGGACTAAATAAGTAGATATGGACCTATCCTTCGGCATTTTGTTATATACAAAGTCAAAGTAGCTGCTCTCAAACATGTTTTCATGCTTCTTAGCATAAGGTTTTTACCATTACACTTTAGGAAAAAAATATTTAATTAATGGACAAATATTTACAATGTGATTTTAGACAATTAATATATTTGAAAGGATAAAATATTCGTGGTGGATTTTTCGGTTATACCATGTCAATTATTTTTGTTGATCATTAATAGTGATAATTAATATGTATGGTGATGAATTGACATGGACACTCAAATTAAGTGTCTACTTAAAAAAAAAAAAATATTTATAGATTAGGAGTGAAAAGACTACAAATACAATTATGTATAATACAAATTCATACAAAATAATATAAAATACAAGGCTTTGCACTATACATATTTATATTTGTACTCCTTCTGAACTGAGGCTAAAGAATAGAGCTAGATACAAATAATGTAGCGGATGAGTAGTTTTTTTTTTTCAAAGATGCATTTCAGTCTTGCACTACAAGGACTATGGGTAAGCAAATGGGTAATTTCTATCTAGAACCAATCAAGAACTGGCCTTACCCATTATTAGGTAGGGTCTATTCCAAATTATTGGGACTACCCCCCCCCCCTAGAGAGCTAACATTGGTTGGCCTTGGTAGAATCGGCTTTGGTTGACCTTGATGGAACTGAACTTGACTTGAAATAAAATCCCAAAATACTTTAAGAGTGTGAAGATTTGAATCCAAGCACTCATGCTTACAAAAATTATGGTCTTATTTGACCATTAAGTTACTTTAGTGATTTGTTCATTTTTCTTCAATTTGGTATTGGAATGTGTATAATAAATAATGTAAAAGGCAATACTTACAAAATTTAAATTATAATGATAGGTTTGAACTATATATATTAATATATTATGATAATATTCATATTAAATTACCCAATTTAATCAATGAAGGAAATATAAGTTTGAACAATGTCTATTATTATATATTTTTTGGGTGGGTGTAAAGAAAGAAAAGTTCCACAGGTATACCTTGGAATTGACCATTGAAATGCCAAGGCCAAAATTGGTATTGGAACCAATATTGACAATTGACAAGGTGGGTTATAGGTTTTGCATTGGAACTAAATCGAAACTAACCCATGCTTAGCCCTAATAAGGCCCATAATTATTTAATACATGAGAACAACTACAAGTTATTGGTTATGCTTTTGGATTTATCAATGCATCTTTTGCCTTAATTATTTAATGAATAGTGTATTTCTTAGATTAATTCATACTTATGTCTGTTGGTCATGACACTTCTAGTTTTCATAAAAAAATTGTAACTAAATGAATGTGACATCTTAGGAGTTGATATTGTACTTATTGACTTTACCAATAGGGTTGTAATCATATCAATTTGGGTTGGATATGGCAAAATCTGGCTATCATCTGATTATGGAAAGCTTGCATATGAATCCAATCCAAAATCTGATCGGATTTAAAGACTTTGGATTAGAATTTGCATCCTAATGGGCTTGGATTGGATTTAGATTTAATCTGACTCCACTTTAATTTTTGTTAAATACAAAAAATAAAAAAAATAATTATTTCTCAACTTTTATATATAATAAATTAATATAAAAATATATATTAAATTTATTATATATATTCATATATAATATAATGTATAAAAACATATTTTTATAATTTTAAATATAATTATATAAAATTTATATATTAAAATCAATAAATATTATATTATAACCGGATTCAGATTTTAGTTGGTTTAAATGGAGTCAATTTCGATCTGACTAATTAATCCAATGTAGAATAAAAGATCAAACTTGATCCACTTACATAAATATATCATCTGAATCCAACGTAATTGAATCAAATGTTTTTGAGTATCATTGACAGGCCTATTTATCAATAAGATATTATGAGAATCCACCAGTGAAAATAATGCACAATACCTTATAATAATGTCAAGACTTAGACTACTTGTAGCGCATGTTTTATAGCCTAGAAGAAAATTTCTTCCACCCTTCATGTAACGAAGTAATGTAAAGGGTCATAATTTTTAGTCTCAAATGAACTTAGAAGGGTTTATTTGATGTTGTGTTCTAATGCTCGAAGCATGGTACATAAACTATTAGGGCATTGGACTCACACAAGTCCAATGTTTTCATGTCCCAATTTTAACATTTCTGCAATTTGTTTATAATGTGCCAATTACACTTTGATGTCACTAGAAAACACTTTTTGTAATGTTTGAAAAATTATGGCTTCAAAATGAAACCTATTTTTTATGTAGGTTAAGCATTTTTGAGCTTGGCTTAGGTTCAATACTATAGGCTTTGCCTAGCCTAGATATTATAACATGACACATAATATATATTATAATAATTTATACTATACAAAGTAAAACATAAATTTTTACATACATATGTTATATAATATAAATAGATAAAATAACGTAAAGGCTGAAAATAATCATAAAGCAGTCAAGAATTTTTTTCTTTTTTCTGAATTTTTTATTTTTTATTCAATGTCATTTTTGAAACAACCAATGAGATGCACTTTCCAATAACCTAAATAATCACTTCTCCTAAAATTTTTCCTATACTACCTCCCCCACTTTCTCCAAAATTATCTCTAATTTCTATTTATCTTCTAAATTATCGCTAATTTCTATTTATCTCCAAAATTATCTCTAATTTAGTAGAAAGTTTCTCTCCTAARTTATCTCTMATTCCTATTTATCCTCTCCCCTACTTTTTATCTATATCTATCTAAAGAAAGTTTGGATTAAAAAATTTAAGAATTATTTAAATATTCTAACAAAATTATATAATAACTTTAAAATATTTATTAAAAACACAAAAAAATAATTTTATATTTTTACAAAATATGTCACGAAATTATGTACTAACAATTTAATCTATGATGTTTTTTCTGGATTATCAATTTAAATGTTTTTTAAATATTTAATAATATTTTACAAAATTAATAATGAAATTATGTAATAATAGTATAAATTATGATTTTATGGATAATTAAATTCAATAAATAATTAATATTTTAAAATTTAAACATTTTACATATTATTTAAGTATTTAAATTACAAAATATTTGACATAACTAGATCTTAAATAGTTAAAATATAGAAATTATGTAATAAATTTAAAAAAATCTGACATGTAGAAAAATAATTATAACATAATATTGTAAACAACTAATTTCACTTATATCAAGTAATAATTCAAGAAAATAACTTTCAAAAAATTAATATTTATTAATAATAATTTTAAACTCTTAATCAGTATTTATTATATAATTATATATTAAAACTAATTTTTATTTATTGTTTTCGTAATAGATGTATTTTGAATGATTATGTATAAATTTATTTTGTTTTATTATTTAATAGAAAATTTCAATAGTTATTGGAGATTAAACTACTATTATTGAAAATTTTAAATTTAATTTATTGTACTTATTGTTTTTATTGTATTTTTGTTATAACTTATTGATTAATTAATATTTATTAGAGATTAAACTATTATTTGAGATTATACCATTTATTGACTAAGTTAATATATTTTTAGTACTTATTGTATTTTTCATTACCAATATATTTTCAATAATTGTGTATTTTTTATATAAATTTTCAATAATTATTGGAGATTAAACTATTGTTATTTATCGGAGATAAGACTATTAATTTAGCTAAAATGGGTCGATTTTCACAAAAGGTCAGTCGGTTCAAAATATTTAAACTTAAAAATTTAATTTAATTTTAAAAATTATAGTGGAATTATTGAACAATAAATTTAAAAATTAGATTTATGAAATAAAATATTTTAGACTAAGAAATATGAGAAATTTCTCACTTTTCATTAAAAATTATATTTTAAATATAAAATATTAATAATGAAATTATGTATATAGTATAAATTATGATTTTATGTATAATTAAATTCAATAAATAATTAACATTTTAAAATTTAAACATTTTACATATTATTTAAGTATTTAAATAACAAAATATTTAACATAACTAGATTTTAAATAGTTAAAATAAAGAAATTATGTAATAAATTTAAAAACAATCTAAAAAGTAGAAAAATAATTATAACATAATATTGAAATAAATAATAANAAATTAATATTTATTGTATTTAAGTAATTATTTATTATTTTTTTGTGATAAATGTATTTTCAATGATTATGTATAAATTTATTTTGTTTTGTTATTTAACAGAAAACTTTCAATAATTATTGGAGATTAAACTACTATTATTGATTTTTTTAATTTAATTTATTGTACTTATTGTACTTTTTTTGTAACTTATTGATTAATTAATATTTATTAGAGATTAAACTATTATTTGAGATTATACTATTGATTGACTAAGTTAATATATTTTTAGTACTTATTGTATTTTTCATTACCAATATGTTTTCAATAATTGTGTATTTTCACTATAAATATTCAATAATTATTGGAGATTAAGCTATTGTTATTTATCGGAGATAAGACTATTAATTTAGCTAAAATTATGAGTGTTCATGAGTTGGTCCGGTCCGGCCATAGGCTATTTGGCCAGCCAAATTGACCTGGTCAGGTTGGGGAATTGGTGAGCTGAAACCGACTGACCTTTTGTGAAAACCGATCCACTCAAGTTGTATCGGTTTGGGTCAGTTTTCACAAAATGTCAGTCGGTTCAAAAGATTTAAACTGAAAATTTTAATTTAATTTTAAAAATTACAATGCAATTATTAAAAAATAAATTTATAAATTATATTTATGAAATAAAACATTTTAGACTAGAAATATGAGAAATTTATCACTTTTCATATTAAAAATTATATTTAAAATATAAAATATTAATATATATCCATGGTTAAGCTGTTCGATTTTGCTCAGTTTACAAATAGCCAAAGTGAAATTGATCCAACTTGGTTGAATTGGGAAATTTTTGAACCAAAACTGACCTAAAATACTAAAAAATATACCAAGTCGGGTCAAGTTGATTAGGTTAGTCGATTTCATAAGTTTGATGAATAAACCTAACTGAAATTAATTATTGTTTTTTTGTATTATAAAAAAATTATTAAAAGTAGTATATAAAATATGAATAATTATTAATTATTTAAAAAGTGGAAAATATAAAACATTTGTATACTCTTATGTATTTCTATTAGGGTCGTTTACTAAAAAACACACCTTATAGTTTTATATATTTACTTAAACCTACCTTATAGTTTTCATTTTACTAAAACATCCCATATATTTTACAATTTATTTACTTAGTCAACCTTTCATTAAGGATTGTTTGTTTTGCCATTAGGCCCATGATTTTTTATTTCAAAAATACCCTTAACACTTTTTCATATAGAAAACAAAATTGGCCAAATATAACCAATAGAGTGGTTGCCCGTGTCTTATTAAGGGTAGGAATGACATTTTTATTTCTATTTTATTTTGCTTAAATTTATTTAAATGAACATTAGTGTCAACACTGTTATTTTCCACTATCATCTAATGGAATATTGATTAAATCCGTTGCAAATTATAAGTGGTGTTTTAGTAAAATGCTAATTATATGGTAGATTTTAGTAAATCCATGAAACTATAAGAGTATTTTAGTAAATGACCCTTTCTATTATTTATCTTTCGTTTAATAAATCCCGTGCACCGCACAGGTCCCCGCTAGTACACCTACTTAAAACATGAAGCTTCAATCACACACATACATACACACTCAATTTAGAGTCTGGATCACCTGTCAATAAAAATACTTCCAACACCCTACCAAAATCATCCGACACCACACATCTCATCTCATGCATGATAGGTTACACTTTTATGGTGGGCCCCGATTTCATAGTGAGATGTGTGGTGTCGGATCAAGTTGATAGGGTGTTGGAAGGTGTTTTGTTGGGGGAGGTCCCAACTCCTCAATTTATTATTAGAGGTATCTTCAAAATAAACAACCATGGGCCCATGCCCTTAAGGCTTAGTTTGGAATGAGTATAAATGTGAATGTGTGCAGCACAAAATACAAATACATACAAAAAATTATAAAATACAAGGTTTTCTACATATTTATATTTGTTCTCCTTCCAAACTAAGCCTAAACATTTTCCACTTGGTTTAGGTGGTACCATTTTCCAATGCAAGACAGGTAGTCCTCAACAAAAAGGAAAGGTCATGATTCATGAAGCAAAAAAACAACAAAAAGGAAAGGTCCATTAAATACATTGGCTGCAAATTATACCAGGTATTTAATAAAATTCAAACCATAAGATGAAGATAGTTTTTGCTGGGTCATTTACTAAACACCGATATAGTTTTATGGATTTACTAAAACCTGCCCTATAATTTGTATTTTATTAAAATATTCTTATAGTTTACAATCAATTTACTTAATTGACCTTTCATTAGATGGCGATGTAATGATAGACACTTTTGACCCTAATATCCATTTGAATAAGTTTAATCAAAAGAAAACAAAAATAAAAAACACCAATTTTGCCCCTAATAAGATATAAGCAACCACTTTGTTTGATCAACTCTGTTTTCAATAAGAAGAAGTGGTAGGGGTGATTTTGGAATAAAAATCATGGGCCTATGTTAATTAATAATCTTAATAATATCATTAATGTTTATTCAAAGTGGGTCCCATAATAATTATTGAATACAGTGGTTAAACCTTAAATAAGAATCAATATTTATTAATAGTAATTAAAAATGTTAAGCTAAATCATTAATGATTATTTGTAAATGCAAAATATGAATTAACAAATCTATTATGTAATAATTATACTTAGTTGGAAAAATATTCTAAGTAAATATTTAAATAATTATAAATTTAGTTTATATTATTAATATATAAAAAAATTAAATTAAATATAATAATAATAATAATAATAATAATAATAATAATAATAATAATAATAATAGTTAAATTAAACTAATAAATTTTCGTTAGAATAATAAACCCCCGATGATTGAGGTAATAGCTCACTACGTTGTTTAAGTTGAATTTAATGACCCGTATAATTTGATGGGTTTGACATATAAAGGCCAATTTATTTGGATCCGTAGATTGTATGAATGTCTTAATTTTTCCGTATTTAATACGGGGTCATTGCCATGTTTCTCTCTCGTTTCCGTGGTTTTTCCAGGCAGCGTCGCTTCTAAGTTGCCGACAAAAACCTCTGTTCTGTAAAAATTCGTCCATCTATCAGCTTTGAGAGATTGCTAGTGATTCAAATATGTCTCGAATAGCTCGATCTCGTCTTCTTTTCTATCTCTCGAAGAACAACAGATCTTTTTCTTCAGTTGTCACTGCAAATCCTCCAAAAGAGTCAATCGCTTCTTCTGCTTCTTTTCTCAACGATCAACCACCACCACCTTCTTCTCCTCCGAATACCAGTGAGAAGAAATCATGGAGTTTTCTCAAGTTTGGGGCTTTCACTGCTCTTACTGGAGCAGCTATAGCCACCGGTTACGCTACTTACGGTTCGTTTCTCACTTTTTTTTTTCTTTCATTTCTTCTTCTCTTCATGAGGTTATGGGTTTTGTTTTCCTTTTCTTTTGCTTCATTCGAACGCTAGAATTAGAAAATCTTTTGAAATGGTTCTAATCGTTCCTGCATATATTTCTTGAAAATTGATAGGACTAGAGAGATGCTTGTTTAAGCTGAATAACAAAAACTTCAAAAAGAAAAAAAAAAAAGAGATGACAACCCCTCTATTTGTAGGGAAGTCATATTTTTTTGTTATACATTTATATCTTGCTTTGGTCTCAGTTGTTATTGGGTTTAAACTGTGAAATGCTGGAAATTGATAGCAGCTTATGAACGTCTTACATTTCAAATAAGCAGTAACAAAAAAAAAAAAACAAAAACAGAAGAGAGGACATGGTGAAGATGAGCTTGTCATTGACAGTAGTGTTGGTTGTTATTAGAATACGAAGTGCCTTTTACAATTCTACTACTCTAAGTTGTTTCTTGTATATTCAGCATACACCTTAGAAGAAATGGATGAAAAGACAAAGGCGTTCCGGGAGTCCGTGAACCACCACGCTGTAGGGGCTGATGCATCTATTGTTGATGTAAGTATGGTATTAATAGTCAATCTCAAAATCCATGCTTCTAGAACTGTTAAATGATAGAAGTTGTTTGGTTCAACAAAAATCTTAGGGTCTTTATTATTTATCAAAAAAAAAAAAATGTAAGGGTCTTTATTGGCATTCAGTCGATAAAACCATAAAAAACAAATAATTCAACTTTTAGCATATAACTTTAACATTCTCTTCTATGTTCATGGAATAAGTTTTTATAGTTTCAAATCCTTAGAACATGCATCTCTGGTTGAGGAATTCTTTTCTTTCTGGTAAGAAATATTTCAATTAAGAGGAACTGCTACTTAAGAGGATGAAGGAGATCTCAGCATGTCCTGTTTGGCTTTCACCACCACAAAAAGGATGGCTGCAGTAATTTTATGATCCTTAAACCCTTTCCCTAAACCAAAATCCCAAGAGAAGCCAACCCGAGAGGCAGAAATAACATGGGGGAGAGGTTTATCTTTTAGCACAAAGATAGAAAAGAGGTTGGGGAAACCTTTAAGGTTTATTTATTGCTTGAAACCTGAAAGATGGTCTGAAACCCTGCAAATCTCTATCATGTGGAAAGGACAATGGGGTCCATGTCTCTGCTTATTGTTGTTATTTTTTTAATCACGGTGATATGTAACTTGTTATCAATGTGCTAACCTTCTGTGGTTGTTGCCTTAAACAGAAATTTCAGGCTTTGCTTTATTCAGCTGCTATGACAGGTTATTCTCTAAACTGAGGCTTATTTTCTTTTGAATAGATTTAATTTGCAGTTTATTTAATCATTTTATTTTTAAAGTAGCCCCTACAAAAGAAAAAAAAAACAAAGACAAGAAAAACTTATAAGAGAAATTTTTATCGATCTTTATGTTCCTATTCCTTCTATTCATTATTCCTTATTTTTCTACTTTCAGTTACATGCCATTGTGCTTGTTAAATTTAATGCATGGCACCACAAACTTAATCATTATGGGTTTCTATTTCCTGTCTCCACGGGATCTTGACTGTTATACCATGGGTTCCTTTACCTCCTCAAGGCAATGGATTCCCCTGGGTTTTGACCATAAGTTTCTTTCTTGAAGAATTGGTTTTTTCACTTTTGTGAATCACTTATTTTATGCATCTTTGCACCAAAATAAAATAATGGTCACTTGAAAAGTTCTATAAATTTCTCCTTCTTGGAAATTATTTTATCCCTGCTTTGGTTTTATATTATTCTAATAATTTTATTGTCTCATATTCCAGTGCCTTCTAAAGCAATTGAACTGTACTTGGACCTTAGGAGATCAATTGAACAACAAGTTCGAGTGTGTATTATTCAAGCAACTAGCATTGACATTCAAGAATGTTACTTGTTTAGTTCCTTATATATTTTATCTGTGGCTACAGGGATTTACTGAGCCATTGTCTGAAAAGCTTCTTCCCGATTTGCATCCTCTGGAGCAACATGTCTTTACTCTTGTTCTGGATCTAAACGAGACTTTAATACACTCTGATTGGAAGGTGGACTTCCATTGTTTGGGCCCATTTTCATCTTTTATTTATTATCTGTTGTTTGTTGTTTTCCCTTGTTCATTATCACTAAGATTAGTTGGTAACTTGATGTAATCTATCTTTCATATCTAATTGCTGGTATAACATCTATTTTCAGTTCTTTACATTCATTTATCAATAAACAATTCTTTCCATTTATTTATTTGTTCCTTCTCTGGGTGCTTGCTTCATACTGATACTCTCTCTCTATAAGGACATTACTTAATGTTGATCCCAGCTATCTGGGGTCTTGGGAGGGGTGGACTGCTGATGTAGGACCTGCTCAGTTCTAGTCCTTGAGAATGTTGAATGGTATTCTTTGATCAGAATTTTATGGCTGTTGATGGCTTTTAAGGGCTTCTTGAAGGAATAAGAGGGAAAATAGGGAGAGAAAGAAGAGAGAAAATACCTGGAATCACTCACAAGGTGCCTTTGTGTAAAATGTCCATACATATTTATAGACTCTAAACTCATAATAATCCTAGGAATCAAACTGTTAGATTCATAATAGTCCTAGGAGTCAAAACTGTTAAGATTCAATAATCCTAATAGGACTCAAACTAAGCTGTCATATGCTATTTCAGTTCAAAGAAGACTCAATAACTCTTGTCCTACTTATGTAATGACTCTGAAATTTTAAACATAAAAAATTATAACTAGACAAATTAAACCCTATCATTGGACCCCATAGAAAATTACAAAATGACAAAAATACCCCTATCTTGTCCTCAAAAGGCTTGCATCCTGGAAAAGGAATTACTTATTGATGGGTGGAAGGATAACTTTGACCAAATCAACATTAGCAAATCTGCCAGTTTATTTCCTTTTGGCCTTTAGGATGCCTGTGGGGATTTGTAGAAGGATAGAGAGGGTAATGAGGGATTTTTTATGGGAACCAGGAGAGGAGAGGAGGGATCATAGGGTGAGGTGGGAATTGGTGATTATAAGTAAGAAGGAAGGGGCTCTAGGAATTGGGAACATTCAGAAGAGGAATATAGCCTTGCTGGGTAAGTGGTTATGGAGATTTCAAGTGGATCAAGACAAGCTATGGACAGAAGTGATCAAGAGCATTCACGGGCTGACGACAGATGGTTGGGATGCTGGAATTTCGGCTACAGCCTCAACAACTGCACCTTGGAAATCCATCCATGCCATTCTTCCTTGTTTTCTGCCCTTTGTCAGGTATAATTTGTGTTCTGGAAATATGGAAAGGTTCTGGGAGCATGTGTGGGTGGGGGAGGCATCCCTTAAGGATCAATTTCCTTCCCTCTTTACCCTTTCTAGGTACAAAAACTTTACTACCTCATCTTTAGTTTCTTCCATTGGCCCAGGACATCAAATTAATTGGGATTTGGGGCTCAGACAAGGGCTCAGAGACTCTGAGTTGGATTTGGTGGGGTCCCTAATTCAGGTACTTCAAAAGGTTTTCTTAGATCCGTCAAGGGGGGATTCCCGAATTTGGACCCTTTTTTCTTCTGGTTCCTTCTGTTGTGTGGTTGTGCCTCCTTTTTCAATGCCCTGGCCCCTTCTTCTGTTTCTCCCGCCTTTCCTTTCCCTTCTAAAGAGGTGTGGGGAAATCCAGTCCCACCTAGGGTCGGTGCTCTGTGTTGGGAAATAGCTTTGGAAAGAATTAATACCTGCGATCTTCTTCAAAAAAAGAAGCCTTTTTGGTGCTTGTTCCCGCACTGGTGTTCCCTTTGTAAAGCTGACGGTGAGTCTTGCTTTCATTTACTTATATCATGCCCTTTTATTTCTTCTATTTGGGAGTGGTTTCTCTCTTTATTTGGGTGCAGGTGGACTCCTCCATCTAGCATTTGCAGCCTCTTCACCTATGCAGTTGGTAGCCGGATCAAAAAGAGGGGAAAAATCTTGTGGAGATGCACTAAGGCAACAACTTGTTGGACAATTTGGGAGGAAAGGAATCAAAGGATATTTGCGGAAAAGGAAAGAAGCAGGGACACAATTATAGAAGTAATATCCATGAGGGTAGCACAATGGGTAAAAACAATGAATCTTTTTGGGGATGCTTAAATAGAGACCATCATGAATAATTGGCAGGAAATAGCAGTCTCAGCTCCTAGCAGAATCAATGTCCATTCGATGTGGCTCCCTCCAATGGAAGGCTTTATCAAATTCAACTTTGATGGGAGCAGTGAAGGAAACCTAGGGCCATCAGGGGTTGGGGGTGTGTTCAGAACAGAGGTAGGTTCAGTTATGGCTCTTTTCTCGGAACCAATTGGAGTTGGAGATTCTTTGAGAGCAGAAATTTTGGCCCTACTGGAGGGGGTCAAAAGGGCTAAGGAGTTAAATATAAATAAGTTGATTATAGAAGGAGATTCAAGGTGGTAATTGGCTGGATAGAGAAGTCAAATGATGAGTTATGGGCTTTCATTAATGAAAAAAGGCATTTTAAGTGGCTGGCCCAAGGAATGGATGTGCGTGTCTGGTGGGTCAAAAGATGTGCTAACTCATTTGCAGATGCTTTGGTCAAACAGGGGGTGGGAAGAAGCCAATTGTTTTGGGCTACTATGTAATTTTATTGTGGGGGGGTGGGTGGGTGGTAAGAGGGTTTACCTCCCCCCACCCTTGTATTTCAATCGTCTTTATATAATTTAGTGAAAGCTTTCGTTATTGATAAAAAAAATGCCCCCTCGTTCGAAAGTCCATCGGGCTTGAAGCATGAACAAAACTACAGTCCCATCCATACCTTGTGTGAGCTTGAGAGCTGTACTCGAAGTAGAGGAGAGGAGAAGAACACCACTGGTATGCTGTGAATGTCGAACTGAATTGCCCAGTCGACCATGCTATTATTTATATTTGAATGTAGTACAATGATACAGGTAGTTACTGGAATGCCCCTGATTAGTGATGGGACACCCAATTAACTTAAAACATTAAACAGGCTTAGGCCCATTAACACAGGCCCAGTTACAGGATAACCTAAACTTAAGTATGGGCTAATAAGAACTCTTATCAGCTGAACACTCATACAAAGAGACTTCATTCTAACATTCTAACACCTTGCACTGAAATTTAATTAACTATAATGGGGGCAACAAGGATTGAACACCAGACCACTTGCTAGGTGTTTAGAAACCTTGGGCATTTATTTTTATAAATGCTCCACATCAGTGCCAAGTAGGCTTGGTGGTTTCACCACCTACTTTATCTATTTGGTTGGGGCGTTCGTAAAAATAAATATATACTTTAAACACCTCGGTTTGTGTGGAAGCTAGCTTTGCAAGAAACGTTATTTTGGTGTTTCTTGCAATGGTACCACCATTTTTTTACCTTTTTGTCTATGTGGCGCCTAATGGTACCTAATTGGCTTGAATAAATAATAAAAAATGTGCACATAACCCAATATCACTTTAACAATTTTCAAGACAAGCGTTTTAAAAAACACCCACAATACCAAACACTCTCTTGGTCAAATTGGCTTTGATACCATCTCAAAAACTTCGGTACCCCTTCTGCAATATGGAGATTGGGTCTTTGAATCATCTTTTCCTCTTTCGCAAATTTTTTGCTAAAATTTGGAATCACTTTTGCAAAGCTGTTCCTGTTTATGGTTGTTTTCCTGCTTCAATGAGGGCTTTTCTAGCTTGTTGGCAAGTTCAGGGACTCTCTAAGTGAGGCAAAACATGTTGGGAAGCTGTGGCTTTAGCAGTAGTCTGGGCCATTTGGCTTCAAAGAAATAGCAGAATATTTGAACAAAAGTCTAATTTTGATGAGGTGGTTATTAGCTTGAGTAGTCGATCTAGACTACATTCAGTCTTGAATTAAAAGGAAAAAAGGATGAAAAATTGAAGAGAAGAAGAGGAGAAGAGAGGAAGAAAGAAGTACACGAAGAGAGTTTTAGAAAAGAGAGAGAGTAGGTCATAATTTCTGCCGACCCTCTCTTAGTATTTATAACTATTGGCTAACTGTAAAAGGGCTGAATTGCCCTTATTGCTTACATGGCAAATAGAATAAGAAATAACTAATAATAAAGCTGAAATAACTACCAACTAACACGGTCATATCTAACAGAAACATTGCTGCCATACGAACACTGTGGGGACCACATCAGTGTTCCTTACAGCTTGACATTTGACATGATAACTTGATAAGAAGCTAGTTGTCTAGCCTTAGCCATTTTAGCGGAGATGATTTTTCCTTCCCTTTTTTGAAAATAGACTTTTTGGGGGGTCCTTAATGGTTGTGTACATGTATGAAGGAACATGCGTGTATACTTTTGATTCCATTTTTTAATACAATATACTTTACTTTTTTTTTTTTATAAAAAAGCAAAGAGACAGATCACTTGTAAGAAATAGGTGAGAGGAGAAAAAAGAGAAAAAAAAAAAATCCTGGAAACAACTAGAATTCACTAAACCAAACTTTATTTTGTCAAATCAACTCTTCGTCAACTCCAATTACAATGACTCTATAAATAGACCCAAATAAACTTGAACACCCTTTATAGACTCCAATTTAGACTATGACCCAAATCAACTTCTAATTGCTTTAGAACTAAGACAATCCTTAAGTAATCTGCACACCTAAACAAGGACTCTAATTCTGATCACAACTTAATAACACTTTCTTAATCCCTTCAAAACTAACTTAGTTTTAAGACACCAGAAATTTCTAAAAATCGTAATTACAAAAATTACTGCAAACAAGAAGTCCGCAAGTTACCATAAATAATAATTTCGAAATAGCAATAATAAAGTTCTAAAAAACAGAATAATTATCTTAGACACCTACTTTAGAAAATAAATAAAAAATTTAATGTAATACTGGTATCCTATCAGCCAAAAATTCTGAAATTGGTGTAGGAAATGGTAGACTAATTTAATTCTCCATGGATTCTTTCCTTGTTTCTATATCTACATCGACATAAAATCAGAAAATCCTCATATTTTGTTAGTTTTATGATGGAAGATGGATGCATACTTTGTATGGAATATAACCATTAAGACTTCTCTTATCATGTAAAGCGTGACCGGGGCTGGAGAACATTTAAAAGACCAGGAGTTGATTCCTTCTTGGAGCACCTAGCCCAGTTCTATGAAATTGTTGTCTACTCTGACCAGCTGAGTATGGTAATTAAGTTGTTGCTCTCTTTAGAATTGAGTCAGTTGTTTTTTATTGTAATTTCTATTGAATTAGGTTTATTTTCTTGGCATATCTGCAGTATGTTGATCCTATTCTTGAAAGGTTGGATAAGAAGGGATGTATACACTATAGACTATCAAGATCTGCAACCAGATATCAAGATGGAAAACATTACAGGGTAAGTATTAATTGATAGTATTTTTATTCCTGATTTCTCTGTCATGTGCCATGATTTTGATCTTTGAAACATTTTTCTGGTGTTATAACTTTGCTTGGCATTTCAGAAGAATTTTAGTATTTATGTCTTATTTCCACTTTCATCTTTTCCTGTAGTGGTATTACTGCCAAATTTTTGAGCTAGGCTGCTCTTGAATTGTTTATTAATTAAATGCAAATGTCCTTTATCTTGTTGCCCTCTCAGGGCATGGAAGTTCTATTTTCTTTCGTCCTTCTTAATTGCAAACTAACAGAAGATTTTTGCTGCCATGTAGCTGAGATTATAGTACCATTTCTAAAGCTACTGCAATATGAAAACAAATTATTCACTTTATTCTCTTACATATTCATTTCAAAACCTGTTCTTTTGTGGCTAGAGTTTGGGAGCGCTTTTTCTCTCTCTTTGGTTGCATATGGAATTCAACTCAAATGCTAGTCTATTCAGTTCAGGGGTAATGCCACAATCAAAAAGAAGAGGAAAGGCAACATAAAAAGCCACTAGAGCAGCAATCATATGGACGGTTTGGGAGGAAAGGAACAATAGGCTGTTTAAGGAGCAATGTAGAACTGGATGCTATTCTTGAAAATATTACTTCGAAGGTAATTCATTGGAGATTTTCAAGAGCTTTTTTTGGGCGGATGACATGGTGAGAAGTTGGGAGGGATGGCTCCCTCTTCCACCCTGAAGATTTGGGTCCAACATGATTGGGTCCCTCCAATAAACAACAGGATATAGTTGAATTTTCATGGAAGCTCATTTGGTAACCCAGGTCTCTCTGGTTTGGGGGAGTCTTTAGGGATGGTTATGAGACAATTGAGGCTATTTTCTTGGGCTCAATAGGTTTGGTGACTCTCTTAGAGCAGAAGTCTTAGCTCGATTTCAAGGATTAAAACTCGCTAAGCAGTCAAACCTCAAGCAGGTGGAAGTGATTAAATATTGGTAGCAGGGTGGATGAACAATAATAGTCAAGGGGTTTGGAATTACAGGCAGGTCTTAATAGAAGGCAGATATATAGTAAGAGAGGAGGTAAGGCATCTTTGTCCCAGATCTCCTTGGCTGTTTTTGCCCATAAATAATTTCGGCTAACGTGAGGCTGCATTGAATTGCACAGCCAAGTCATCACCAAATAGTTCTCTTGAACCCATTTGGCATGTGATGTGTCTTCCTTTGCTGGCTTCTTTATATCCTCAGTCACATAGCCTAATTTGCCTCTACCTCCAATGGCCATCATAGCTGATTGTGTTGTGGATGCGTTCGTGGGGAGGACGTACAGCCGCCGACAGCAGCAGTGAGGAGGGGCCCACAAGGCGGCAGCTTATCTTATCAGCTCTCAGCTTATCTTATTCTTAGTAGTTTTCCTTATCTTCTAGAGTTTGATTTACCTATTAGAAGTAGGAGTCTGATTAATCTTAAAAGTGTGATTTATCCTTATCTGTAAGTAGTCGAATTCTACTGGGAGTCTTCCCACACCTCTTGGTCGAATTCTACTGGGAGTCTTCCCACACCTCTTGTAATCTCCTATTTAAGGAGCTGCAAATTGAGAATAAAGCATTCAGTTTTCAGTCAAGAAAGAGTTTAGGAGAGTTAGGGTGATCTCTTGAACAAATCACCCTTAGATCGCCACGATAGGGTCTGCATGCAAAGGGAGGGGCAAGGGGAAGCTAGAGGTTCTCCCCGTGGACCGACCCGTGACAAGATCCTACGCCCGGGCCCATTCCAAGTAATTGGTTCTATCAAACCTAATAGTAGTAATTTGAAAAGAGCTCTTAGTCATGTTTCCAGCCCCTAAAAAACTTTCCCCTCGAATCTTTAACTCAGTTCCAGCCTTCTCCATTTTATATAAAATATTAACAGGTCACTGTTTCAAGAAGGAAACCCCTGAACTGCCTTTTTCTATGCAGAAAACCTTAAATGATTGAAATCAGCCACCCAGAAATCACTCACAGTGAAGAATTATCATCCAGAAATCATTCACATTCAAGGATCACCACCAAGAAATCACTCACAGCCAAGATTCATCACCCAAAAATCATTCACAGTTAACTATAGTCACCCAGAAATCATACACAGTCAAAATAACAGGCCTGGGAGCAAAGAACTGATCATAGGGTTTGAAAACCCTAGAGAAAAGAACAGGGAAAACAGATAACTGTCAACCGCTGCTTACAGAGGGGTTTAAACTGCTCTTATTCAAGGTCGGTCTCAATAAAAAGAAGTTTTTTTCTCAAATGAAAACTGATCGCCACCTTCAATCTCCAGTTTAAACCCTAATCTTGGACTTACCTATTTTCTCTGATCCTTCCTGGTCACCGGGCATTCTTCAAAGGTCATGCGAACCCTTGGGCAGCAACTAAAGACTCCAGCAACCTCCAAGAATCAGGCGATGATGCAGAGCTTCAAGTCCTAGAAAGTTCTCATGCAGCTGACTAGATCAGGCTCACATGAGAACCCTAACCTGTCCTAGGCTCTGATACCAACTTGGATAAAAGAAACTGTTTGTTTTCTGATATAAAACAAATATATCTGGCCCAACTACCATAACTCCATATAATAACATGAAATAACATAAAGATATAAAGTGGGACCACACACTAACAACTATCTCTACAGGTGGCCTTAATTGAAACTATTACTCTAAGAGTTGCATATTGGGTTAGGACCTTGGATTTGTTTTCTGATTTCACAATGGATGATTTACTTAGAAGGTGGGGGCAGTTATAGCTTCCTCTTTTAGAAAGATAAAAGAATAACAAAGGAGTGGTCACCTCCAAGCAGAGGGTGGTGGAAGCCGAACTTTGATGGGAGTAGTATAGGTAACCGGGGGCCATTTGGTGTTGGAAGTGCCATAAGGGATGGGAGCAGAAGTATTCTTGCAATGTACTTGGGGTCCTATAGGAGGAGGAGATTCAGTTAGCGCTGGGTTAATGGCAACAACCTTTGGTGTACAGAAAGCCAAGGAAATGGGAGTTGGGTGCTGAATTCAAATGGGTTAGAAGGAGTTCAAATGGGTTAGATGATTCCTTTCCTAAACAAGGGGTAGCAAGGAAGCAATTGTTTTGGGCATCTTTATAACAAAGTGTTGCTTGTGGGGATGATATCATGATCATCAAATCAAACTTGTACCATCTTTTCTCATTCAATTAATATAATCAAAGTTTTACTGATGAAAAAAAAGGATTTTAGCATTCCTTTTACACCAATGCTTCGAAAAACTGTGGCTTTAGTACATTGAGTCATAATTTTCCTCTTTTTGTGATGATATGAGTCAGCTAGGAATGGAAAATGTCCAACATATCCAATAGTTGTGTCTAATTAGAGCCAAAAAGAGGGATGAAGTGATTCAATACTTTATTGTGAAAGGGCAAGAGAGGAATAGGTGATTGTCATTGTCACCACTCTTTAGGTAAATGATCTACACATGAGAGGAGAGGCAGAAAGTTTTCTTTGTTGGAACATCTCCCTGTAGTAAATTGCTTTGATTATTGGTGTATGGAGCTGTCCCAAAGGGCTTTCACTTTGTGACAGAGTTGGGTGAGGATAGGGAATCATCAAGGGCCTTAAAGGAGGCACTATTGAAAAGTAACAAAACATATGGACAATCTAGATTCTTTGATCGAGGCCCTCTTTAGGAAGGAAGATACCATTAAGAGACTTGGTAGGACTTACACCTCCTTACTCTCATGGTCTCAAAAACTTGGTTGGTATTAGAGTTTATTGAAGTCATCATGGGGATTACTACGTCATTGTTCATATCATAGATTGAAAACCTTGAATCACTTAATGGGGACCTACAATCTTTTTGACTGGTAGTTGATAAGAACTTATTTGAACTTACAATTACCCTAGGGTTTATAAGAATCACTCACCGTATACATAATATGCAGAAAACCATTCAAATATTACCTTAAAGATCCTTTTTCGGTCATGTACATACTCTATGAGTCTAAGCTTATTGAAGTCATCACATGGATTTTCTTGCTTGTGGTTGGTTTTATCACTGGAATTGATTAAGTTTTCATCTTTATGTTCTTTAAAAATTGAGGACAAGCTTTTTTGGGTATATTACAATTTACAAAGATGCCCTCTATATTATGGGGTTAGTGACAAAGTACCCCTTTGTACTTTCATTTGTGACAAAGGCCATCCGACTGTTAAGTCAGCTGATGAAAGGCCCTAAATTACCAAAACACCCTCTTCATAATTCAAGGGGCGTGAATGAAGTTTTCAAAATGGCAAAAATGGGCAACCATTCTCCCTTTTGTCTATTTCTTGTCCATTTTCTGCTTTTCCCCTAAACCCTAGAACCATTTGGCAAGAACTCTACATTGCTCTTTGTCAAAAGTTGTTGCCACTATCTCACTGGTGAAGAGCTGTCTGATACGCCATCACTAGATACAGAAGAATCTCCGGAAATACCAAAAAAATCATTTGCATATTTTATGCCTTTGCTGGAGAAGGTGTTTTTATCATCGCTGCTGGAGAAGAACCTATGTACATGTATGCCACACTAGCTATTTTAACCATATGAGAACCAATATTTTTAGGAATTGTTGGGTTACAAAGGTGTAAGTGAAAGGGTAAATTGTCCAAGAAAATAATAAAAGGGCAGTTTTGGGATTTAAAAAGCGTTAAACGACCAAATGAGAGTCTTTTCTGAATTAACTGATGGAATACTAACAGAGGGAGGTCATTGTTGCAACATAAAAGTTTATGGGGCCTTTGTAGCAAATGAAAGTGTAGGGGGTATTTGTCACTGATCCCTCAGTACAGGGAGGTCTTTGTAATTTATCCTTTTTTGAATCAGGGGAGAATAATGTGAGGCCTAAAGAGTCATAATTGGAAATTTCTGGATTTTTATGTATTTGTGTTTTTTTAGATGTGTTTCTGGTCATTTTATATGTTGTCTGTGGGTGTTTATCCTGTCAATTTGGCTTGTCCAATTGTAGTTAAGTTGTGTTTAAAATTTAAGTCATTGGTTAAGTTGTTTAAGAGTTGTGTTTATTATGATAGTGACAGTTTTGTAATTTTTGTTTTTCTTGGTTCTAGTAAAACATGTGATAACTGATATTGGAATGATATTCTGCCTATTGCTCTTATAACAAGTGATTCCCATAAACCCTAGAGTGATTCTAGGTGCCTTGTAAGTGATTCTGGGTTTTCTCTCTCTTCTTTCTCTCTCCATCTTCTCTCTAATTCTATAAATGACCTTCACATCCACCAAAAGCTTACATATTCTTCATCAAAGAAGTTTATTCAACATCTCTAAAGGATTGAATTTGGCCCAGGTATATTTTCTTAAAAGATTACATTAAAATCTGAAATCTTTCTGTTTTGGCAGCTTTCACCATTTGTGCCAAAGCATCTCCAATTGCTTCTATATTTGGATGCCTACCATAGATCTTTCTAACCTTTTTATTCTTATCTCAAAATTCCACCTAGAACCCTAGGTTCCATATTTTTCAATTTTCTTCACAAAAAATAGAATTTTTGTTCTTTTATGCAAGATGTACTCCATACCCTACCAAACTTGGTTACTGTCTACAACAATTCATTAAAACTGTGCCTACAAAATTTCATTGAAAAATTCCAATATTGACATATTTTCTTTATTTAAAAGTTTTTCAACATGTTGGGAAACAATTCTTGCAGTCAAGCCCTGAGATCACCCCTAACCTTACCTATCTCTTCCTTTAGTTTTAAAATCATTTTTAACCCATCATTAGGGCATTTCAGTCCTACATAAAATTTGGTGTCAGAGTTATCTGTCCTACATCAATTTGGTATAAAGACAATCAGTTCTATATCAATTGTTACTATACTTGTTGACCTAAAATCATTAGGTGATTCAACACTTGATTTCTTTTAATTAGGGAAATGAAAGTCACATCCATTCCCTTGTCCTACATCAATTTGCTTGGCTGATAGTTTAGCCAAGCAAGGGGCAAACAGGGCCCAATTGTATTGGGCAACTTTGTAGTCTGTTTTTGGATATGATTGTTTGGAGAGGTTGCAGCTTGTGCCTCTCCATGGGATATTTGTATCTGTTTTCTCTATATTCCAATAAAAATCCTTATCTCCCAACAATCATGAGAAAAATGCCATGGTGAAACCATCTGATTCGGGTACCTTGTCCTTTAGTCATACAAAAAATTGCCCTCTAAAATCGCCATATCATCCTCCAGAATTTCTTTCACAATTTATCACACTTAATTTTTTGGATGAATGATTTATTACCCCAATTTCTTCAAGACTTGTCTTTACTTCAAAGCTGGTATTTTTAATATATAAAGGTCTTTTTTGGGAGGGCATAACTTTATGCATAGCTGCTTTGGTTCTGCTGCTTCAAAGAAGCTACTGAAAGAGGTTTGTTTGGAATGCCACCTAAGTTGCTGTATGATGACTAAATTTGGCTTTCTTGAATTTTCTACCGAACATTGGTTATAGAATTTCTGGATGGGCCCCACCTCTCAAGCATCAAGTCACAGCATGAAACCCCTCTCAAATAGTCCCATAATATAGGGATATTTTCTTTTTAACCTATTAGACCCCAAATTCGGTAACCACCAATATCTAATCTCAAAATCCTATATTCTTTGCATAAAGTTTAAGTGCTAGGTGTCATTCTGGGGCTGAACTTTTCAGTATTGTTAATGGTTTAATTTTAGGGTCCAAATGCTGGAAAAGAAGAAATTCTAGTTATTTACAGTAGAGTTCATGCATGGTCCTTTACATTATCTACACAACGAATGGTGGGTTCTTCATGAGGGATATTTAATCCCTTTAGATTGCATGGATGCATGGGATCATTTTAATTTCATATGATAGTGCTATCATATGTAAAGCTTGATATTTACCTTGCACGAATGCCCATGAAATTGGAGAGATTTAGTTTTTTAATTGTAAATCTTTCTTGCAGGACCTCTCAAAGCTAAACAGAGATCCTTCTAGGATTCTCTATGTGAGTGGACATGCGCTAGAATCAAGCCTTCAGCCAGAAAATTGTGTTCCCATTAAGCCTTGGAAGCTTGAAGCAGATGATACAGCACTTCTGGATCTTATTCCATTTCTTGAATGTAAGCCTTGGGTTTTGCCAGTTGTCTTTTTTTTTTTTATCAGTAATGGAAAATTTTATTAAAATTATGAAACTTTAATTACAAGAGAGGGGGGGGGGTAAGCTTTCTTAACTCCCCCACCAGCACAAAACAAAGGATACAAAATTATAAATGAGCCCAAAAGGAACCCCTATACACCCCTTTCTTGGCTAACCCATCAGCGAGTGAGTTAGCAGTTCTCTTTACCCAGCTGTATTTCACCTCAATGTCCCTAGTCAGCCACTTCAACTTTTTTCCTTTCATTGCTGTAGTTCCAGATACCATAGTTGTCTTCCTTTAGCCATCTCACCACCACCTTCGAGTCACCTTCAATAACCAATTTTCTTAGGTTCAACTCCCTTGCTCTTTGGGCACCTTCTAGAGCCGCAAGGATCTCGGCCCTAAGAGTCCTTCTCCAATAGGGCCTGAGAACATGGCTATAATAAGTCCTTCCTCATTGCTAAACACTCCCCCTATACTAGAGAGCCCTGGGTTCCTTAAGCTACTGCCATCAAAATTCAGCTTTATGAACCCAGAGGGAGGAGATATCCAAGAGGGATTAGATGTTTTGCCAGTTTTCAGTCTGTTATGTAAAGATTCACTGACCTTGATTTGTTTATCTGCAGATGTAGCACACCATAGACCTGCTGACATAAGACTGGTCCTAGCTTCTTATCAGGGTCGTGATATTGCAACTGAATTCATTGAGCGTTCTAAAGAGCATCAAAGGTAATTTATCTTTTCATCATTGAGAAGAACTGAATATTTATTTAGAAGATTGATTATGTAGAAGAGATAATATTGTCACCAGCAGCTGTAGCCTACTTTGTCTATGAGCCATTAATTGCCAAGTTTCTCATGGTTCCTTCTGGTGATTCACCTGAACTCTTGGTTGCTTGCAAGTACGAGTACACAACTCAAGCGTAACTATTGTATCCCTGAAATGGTTATAAAATCATTTCTAGTCACTAGTAGTAAACCACTCATGCATGCCTATGAGTGTCCTCTGGTCCGTGCTGGGAAAACCTGTTCAACATATTGCGGCCCAATAGCAACATTTAAAAGATTGAATTGAACAAAGAAATAACAAAAACAGTTGTTTGTATTTTGATATTTGCAAAACTGTATGGGTAGTTTTTTTTTTTCTGATTAATTAGTGAAGTTTTTTTTTTTTCTGATTAATTAATGAAGTTTATACTTTTATCTGTTCTAAAAAACCAGTACCCCAACTACCCATACAGTTGGGTATAAGAAGTGAAATAAATGATGATAAATAACTGATGTTTATATTAAAATAAACAAAATCCAAAGAAAGAAATGATGATAAATAGTGGTATCCAACTACCCATTTGTATGGTCAGTCAATGATTGTTTTATAATGTTTAAGTAGTTATGGATATAAGAAGTGAAATAAATGATGATAAGTAACTGATATTTATATTAAAATAAACAAAGGCCAACGAAAGAAATGATCCTCGTATAAAGCTTTACTTGGTCTTACAATTCTAGTGGTATCCAATTTTTTTGTACAGACAAAATAAATAAATAAATAAAGTGCAAAACATGAGTGAGAATTCATACTTGAACAACCCTCTCATCATCTCATGTTTGGTCAAACCCATCCAAAGCCATTCCAATCTTTGTTGGGTTTAACTTAGGTGGGATTTAAGTTGGCAAACTTGGGCTTTGACATTTGGTCTAGGTTTGGGCTTGAGGTTCATCATGTCCAAGGTTGGCCCTTGACCAGCCCATACAATTTATACTTACTTTAGAGAGTGTAGAGGGTAAGTGGGTTATAAACATTGATTATTGAGAGAGAGAGAGGATTTTATTAGAGAAAATTAACTTAAGGGGGTTTAATTAGAAGATTCCTCGCCTCCATCCTTGTCTAGCAGAGAAAATTAACTTAAGGGGATTTAATTAGACAAAGGAGTGGAGGTATGTGTGAGCATTGAAGTTAGAAGATTCCTCACCTCCATCCTTGTCTACCTTCAAAATACAGTTGGTGAAAAAAAAATTCATAAAAAATAAGGATGCAAAGGAAATATATGTGGATGGGTGTTTGGTTCTATGCATGCATTACTGCAATCTTGCCTTGCTGAGAGCAGCCATTTTGTGCTAAAAATGATTAAGATTAATGGCGTTTTGTGTTATTACTGCTATCTTTCTTTAGATGGTTATTTTGACCTTTTTGGGAATTTTCCTCTAGGGCTTTATTAGTTGCACTTGCATATTTAAGAATATTTGGTCCATCCAATTTTAGGTTCTGTCCTATCAATTGAAAATATGGGTCTTTATGTAGCAAGAAGTTGATTCCTAGTTATTGATAAGAAAAGCTTGATTACTAGTTATTGATAAAAAAGTTGATTACTAATTTTCTATAGGAGGTTATAGTTAAATTACCATACTTGTAGAGGAGTTGGATCTAAGAGCATCTATGTTTTACATTCTAGATTATTTTATTATTATTATTATTATTATTATTATTATTATTATTATTATTTTTAATTATGGTGCAGGCGAATGCAAGAACAGAAACAACATGGGCATTTATGGTGGCGTTGAGATAGAAATAATCAGAAATGAATTGAGGAATGGAATATCTACTTTTTGACACAGAATAGAAGGGAAAGGTGAAACAGGATTTATGTTTCATGTGTGCCCATCCAATTCCTCCATCCTCCCTTAACCGAGAAAGGGGAAAAAAAGGTTGGGATAATTTTCTTGTTCCTTGTGCATCACAAAATTTTGGCGGTTTCAAATAGATTTGATGTATCATTAGCTGCGCTTACCTTTCATAGAAATGCTATGAGATGATTAGTAGTAGAGTGTAGTCCTTTTTGTTGTAGCTTGTTTACTAGCAGCAGAGGAAGTCTAATGTAGAAGTCCATCTTGCAAATGACAGTTTGGTTATGTGTTTTCTTTAACTTTACCCATGGATTGAAGGAGAGATTTTGATTAAGGCTCGTTTCACAAAATTTTCATAATCCATTGGATGAGGGGCTTTATAGGCAAATTATTGTAGGTGTCCTCCTATGGAGATCCTCTTTCGTTCTTAACTCTCTCTTATGAGTTATGAGCAATGTTTTAAAAACTGAATTGGAGATCGACTTTCTTTTTGGGGGGATTGGTTGGACACCCAGGGATTTGGATCAAAATATTAGAGAATCCACTTCACATAATGTAAGTATGATCAATTAATCCAACTTTCTTGGACACAAATTACATTTAAGTATATGACTATGAAAGTAATAACTTTTCTTTTTTTAAAATTGACATAAAATTTTAATAGATCCATGGATATGATAGATTATCTATAGATTCACATTATAATTATTTTTTATCTTCACATAATGTAAACCATATAGGTTTTTTTTCTTGTAATTTTATTGTTATTGCAATTTCTTGAAAAAAATCTATATACCTATTTATAAGAGGTTAAGAGCAAAATTAACAAATTTAATTATCAAACTACCCAAATATAGATCAATAAACATTTTTTTGAACATTCAAATATACAAAATAATAGAAAAATGAAGATTAGATAAAAAATTTGCAAAAATCTTATTGTTTTTTCGTTTGATACGTAAAAAGTGCATTTAGATTCAAGACTTAAAGTTCTTTATGTTTTTTTTTTTCTTCTTATTTATAGATTTGTTGATTTTGAGTTTCTAAAACACATTTGTAGAATTTGAGTGTAAAAGGTTTCTAGAAAGGATTAGAAGCCTTCTTTTAATCATATACTAAATTCGTACTTCATTGTAATGTATCCACTGATATGCTATTAATACACATGGATGTATCACTCATACACATGATACACTTTTAATTTAATACATAGGGATGTACATGAAAAGAGACAACATAATGGAAATTTATGCATTTGAAGTGTCAACAAGTTGTTGGAAACTTGGAGTCATATGTATCGTTAATGTGTATAAAAAGTGATATACTTAATAATGCATGTAAGATTGAAATGTTTCAACCCATCTAAATAAGTTGCAAGCTTAAACACTACTATTATTGCTCACTCAAAATACAAATACACAAAATCATATCATATATACTTATTAACAATAAAATAACATATAAGAAGAGCCTCAAGCGTTTGCACAATGGAATCTTTGGGCTTGTAGATATGTGTATCATGCCTTTGCCTTTTTGTTATTTTATCCAATGTCTAATGCCCAATGGCTTTTTATTTATATGTTGTTTATTTGCTTTACCCAACATCTAAAGCATCATCCATCTCTATTTACCCAACATTTAATGCCCAGTAGATATATTAATGTCTTTTACTTTATTCCATGACTATTTAATTTACCCATCATCCATCATCTATTATCCCAACCTCTCTTTACCCTATATGTAACCTTCACATGTTTATCTATACTTGTACATAAGACGACAAAATAATTAAATGAGCTCTTTTCTTAGGAACCATTTCGTCGTCTCCTCAATAAAAAGTTGAAGATAAATAAGCATTTTCCTACAGTAAAAATTCATCGAAGATAAAAGAAGCATTTTCATAACAACAGTCTGTCTAAAAAGACAAATTGAAGATAAGATGGCAGGTCGTAAATAAGTTCAAATTTGAAAAGCAGATGCGTGTGTCAAGCCTTCCTTTCTATAAATAAGGCTCAAGTCTCATTTATAAAGTGTGCTAAGGAGTGTTTGCTTAAGAAAGCTTGAGTTTTGTAATCCATCTTTGAGTATCTTTGAGTGAGGTTTGTAATTCTTTCTGAATGTTGTGTAAGTTTTATAATTCTCTCATTGAGTTTTAGACAAGTAGCATTGAATAAGCTATATCGGTTTTACCAGAATCCCAATGATAATGCTGGATTTTGGTGGATCATGTATAAATAAGGATTTCTTTATAATACAAGTGGTAGGATCAACAAGTTGGTCTTCAATCTTGATGAATTTCAATTCAATTTCTCATTTCAGTTGACACTCTAACGAACCTCAATATGCTTTGTTCTTCCATGAAAAAGTAGGTTTTTTGCCTTTGCAATAGTTGTGGTATTGTCATAATAGATAGTTGGGTCATTTTGCACAAACTGAAGGTCTTCCAAAAGTCTTTTAAGCCAAATTGACTCACAAGATGCATTAGTGATTGAAACGTATTTTATTTCAGTTGAAGAAAGTGTCAGTGGTTGTCTCTTGGATGATCATGAAATCATTTTACATCCAAGGAAAATATATATCCAATTGTGCTTTTTTTATCATCTATAAAACCAGCCCAATCACCATCTTAAAAATCAACCAACTTGTAGTCATTTTCACTTTCATATTTTAGTCCAAAGTTCCTATTTCTTAGTTCTTTTCACATATCCAAGTATTCTTTTTACTGCTCCAAAGTGAATGTTACTTGGCTTGTTCATGTATCTTGAAACAATGTTTACAGCAAGCATAATATCCGGCCTTGTGTTGGTGAGATAAATCAAAGAACCAATAAGGTTTCTATAGATTGATGTATCTACCAATTGAGCTTCATTTTCCTTTGACAATATTTTATTAACAACCATAGGAATAGCTAGGGGTTTACAAGTTGACATATGAAATCTTTTTAGCAAATCTTCAACATACTTTTTTAGGAATAACATGTATTTTATCAACCTTCCTGAATAGAGATTTAGAAGAGGAAGTACACGTTGAGCAACTACAGGTATATGTTATAGAAGGAAAAGAGGACAAGGTCAGACCGTATGTATTAAGGATAAGCATTATGATAATCCTACAATTAGAAACACAACCATACCGAACACCATCTTTTATTGCTAGGTTGGAAAATTATTACAGCTCAACTAAGACATAATACTTCTATGTACACAACTATTTAAAGTCATTAATGTGTGTGTTTTTCTTTTTAAGATACCTAACCAAAAAATTGGTTTAGGGGATGCAAAGTTATAATTAGTGATAATATCACCTAAACACCTTGGTTGATAAGTTGTTACTTTTTTATTACTATTTTGCCATTATATATGTAATATCCTTATCTACTTTCTAGGATTTAATCCCATTGTATTTTTTACCATCCATCTCACCAGCAATATTTTTACCAAAATAAATGGTCTCTAATGCAATAAAAAATAATGTTTATAAATTAGAAAATATAATAAATAGTATAAGAATAATAGCTCCACATGAAATTTAAAATATAAGGACCATTGTAATCAATAGGTATTCATTACACATCTAACGAAGATTTTATATTAATGTTGCATATTGATTGAAAGTTTTTAATTAAGGGTAAATTTTTTAAATTAATTGATAAAGTGTACTCTTACTATTTGAAAATTGATTAATACTACCCCAATACTTTCCTAAACGTGATAAAAAGATGATTTTACCTTTATTCTTTTTCAAATTTGGTTTTTGCGGCTAAACACCAGAAGTGTTATGACCTTATGAACACCGTTGTTGCCGCTGCAACAGGTTTCTGACGGCGAGAGGAAAGGGTCTGCCGGTGAGAGGAAAGGGTCTGCCGGTGGCGGTCTAACCCATATTTACACAAATACATAAATCTGCTAAATATACGACGGAGGGAGAAGAATTAGACATTCAGATCAGAACCAGATAGATATAGATAGGATAGGATGACGATGGAGAACTCAGCCACCGCTATGGCTCGTTTCTTCTTCGGAATTTGGTAACCTCTATATTCATCTTTGCTGACAAATTCCTTTTCAATATCAGAAAGATATAAACTTCTCCAATTCATTCGCTACCTTCTTTCCAACTTTTCTTATTTTTCTTCGTTTCCTACCTATTATCTTCCCTTCCTTAATTGCCAAATCAGCGGCCGACTTTCCTCTCAAACCCCACCACGTTAAGCGGGAATTCCCAACCCAGGGAGACTCTGGTATCGCTCGACCACTCTCTCAGATTCTGTCCAACATCAACGATATCCCAGTCAGCTCCCGCAAATAAATGGTTCAAAACTTAGCTGAAAATCTCATTGACGAGAATCTCTGGGAAGGATGCGAGTCACTGAGATAGGTCAACCAATCGGTTTTATCGGCGGTGTTCGCTAGTATTCTTTGCCTGCTCGAAGGGGCGATGTAGAGCAAGAGCGAGAGCAGATCGCTAAAAATGGATTTAACCAAATCTATGACTTCCGAATCTTCAAATCTGAACAAAAAATCTCCAGAAATGAGAGGCTTTATGGGGTTCGATTGGAAGCTAATGAAAATCTCCCTCTGCAAAACCCTTGTTTGCACTTGGAAAAAATTGGATGACTTTGATTGGATTCTTCAAACTTTACCGGTCGCGGCCTTTTCCTCTTTGGTGCTGCAGATGCTCATCAAACCAAGAGTGCCATCGTCAACCCCAGAAGGAGAGGAGTTGGGTTTTGGACGAGATGGTCGTCGTGGAAGACGATTGGCTTTGGAAGCTTGACACGGCTTACTTTCTGCGGCTGAACACTAGAAGTGTTCTGAGCTGAGCTTAGGAATACCACTGCCTTGCCTTGCAACAGGGCTGCCACACGATATGCTACGACTGTAAGAAGATTCAGCAAGGTCCGATACGATACGCTATGGTTGCCGCACAAGGTGGTGGTGGCACAGGAGGCTGATGGGTTTGTGAAATTCGGGCACGATGATGGATGGGTCTGCCTATTTGTTCGATCCCGATATCAACACGGACGGTCAGATTTCAGCGCAGGGCATTGACGGTGTGTTGTTCCCGTCAGAAGAGCAGTAGTTGAAACTTGAAATGAAAACAACCAAAACAAAAACGGTCAAGCCCTTCAAGACTTCTATAAAAGCAAGGATAGGTTCGTGTTTTCATATCCTTCTAATTAGTATTGTTTTTCATCCGTCATTGCATCTACAATAATTTAGGAAGCAATGAACCAAAATGTGAGACATCGTGACCGAAATTCGATAGTTGCAGCGACCCTGCAACAGGGCTTCTGACAGCGAGAGGAAAGGGGCTGTCGTGGCGGTCTAATCG